CCTCGCAGCCCAGCGGCGTGGGCACCCACGCGGCGCCGACAGCCTCGCAGCCGAGAGGTGCCCGGCCCCGCGGGCTTCCCCTGGGAACTGGGGGGCCAAGTGCCTCTCGAGGCCGGGACTGCGCCTTGCCAAGTTAGTCGGGGACTCTTAACGGGACAGGCTGGAGGGAGACTCCTTATTCCGACAGCCCAGGGCCTCTCAGAATAAGCCTTGATTTGTAGCGTAGAAACTTGCAGGGTATCCTCGCTTGCTGTTGAGGAATCATCTAAGACTGCATCTCTAAATTTTCAGCGCTGAATGTAAAAGTCTGAATTATCTTTTAATTTGGTTTTGATTGGTAATTTTGTTAGAATGCAGGGGCAAAGACTCAACCTCAACCTGTAAAGCATATAAAAAACTTTAGTTCTGGGCGAACTATTCACAAAATGTATTTTTAGAAGTGCTGCAGGTAGAAATGCAGCAAATACCTGCGTTTGCCATCAAATTTCCGGTTTTGTTTTCCTCCTCCTCTGTTGTAATAGAGATACCACTTCTCTCTGGAGATAGCAGTGGATAGCCAGTACTGTCAAGGTGAAACAGATTTCTTCTCTGACGCTGTAATAGGGCTAATTGTTCCTCCAGAGCAAATCAATGTTGGATCATATACCATGCTTAGTCAGGCCTCGTGTTTGACTGCTTTGGCAATATCTTCTTTGCCCTCTTGTTCTTGGGCACTTCACGTGTGCTGTTCTTCAGCATAGTCAGGTTTTGAATGTGAAGTGGTATGAAACTCAACTCATGGTGTTTCCTCTCAGAATAAGCCTTGATTTGTAGCGTAGAAACTTGCAGGGTATCCTCGCTTGCTGTTGAGGAATCATCTAAGACTGCATCTCTAAATTTTCAGCGCTGAATGTAAAAGTCTGAATTATCTTTTAATTTGGTTTTGATTGGTAATTTTGTTAGAATGCAGGGGCAAAGACTCAACCTCAACCTGTAAAGCATATAAAAAACTTTAGTTCTGGGCGAACTATTCACAAAATGTATTTTTAGAAGTGCTGCAGGTAGAAATGCAGCAAATACCTGCGTTTGCCATCAAATTTCCGGTTTTGTTTTCCTCCTCCTCTGTTGTAATAGAGATACCACTTCTCTCTGGAGATAGCAGTGGATAGCCAGTACTGTCAAGGTGAAACAGATTTCTTCTCTGACGCTGTAATAGGGCTAATTGTTCCTCCAGAGCAAATCAATGTTGGATCATATACCATGCTTAGTCAGGCCTCGTGTTTGACTGCTTTGGCAATATCTTCTTTGCCCTCTTGTTCTTGGGCACTTCACGTGTGCTGTTCTTCAGCATAGTCAGGTTTTGAATGTGAAGTGGTATGAAACTCAACTCTGAGGGTTTATAAAGCATGGGCTGTGAATTGAAGTGTAGAGAGCGTAATCTTGCGTTTTTCAGAGCAAATATGTGTCCACGTATATTGTCCTTCTGGTGCAAGAGAACAGTTGTACTGTAATTAAATAGCTATTGATAAGAGATTTTTGTCACTTCACAATAAATGTGGAGAGAAAGCATACAGAAAAAGTTGTGTTTAAGAGTACGAGTTTCTCTTCAGAAGAGAATGGAAATTGTCACTTTCATTTTTGTAACCAAAACTGTTACTGTGGCAAAAGGTAAAAGGTCACTGGTAATGAGCCCTTGTGGTGTTTGATACGAACTTCCCCTTGAAGTCTGGTATTTAATAAGTAATTCTTTAACGGTAACTGTGAATGCTGTGCGCACAATAGGCTGTTACATCGATACACAGGTAAGTTCTGCTAAAAGTCAGTAGTCCTCTAGAACAGCAAACTGCACCTTTCTGTCTGTGTTTGCTGGCCAACTGAGAGCATCTGCTCTTGCACTTCAAAGTTACAGTGTGTCAGGAATTCCCTACAATTTTTGGAACATAGGAGGGCAGAAAATAAATAACCTAATTGTATTGGTGAAATGTTTAAGTGTTGTTACTCTGCTATCTACTTTTGTAGTCAGAAGTAGGCTGTAGTACTTGCTGTCATTAACAGTAGCAGCAAAGGAGGTTGTTATTGTTGCTGAAGCATTGTGGAGAAAACTTGGTTTCCTCTTTCACTGAAAGCAAACCAGAAGTACGGCTTTATTTTTTTCCCCGCAAATTGTACGTGTGTATCTAAGAATTTATCGAGTACAGCTTTGTTAAATACTTTGTCAAATGTAAGAGGCTCTGTTTGTCCAATTTCAAATCGGAAAGAGGTGGTTTTGTTCTTTAGCTTGGTCTGTGAGGCAATTGGAGTCTTTTAAATCCTTTGCTTTTGTGTTTGTGTGTTTTCCCCCCCGCCCCCCCCCTCCCAACACCAGCATAATGTGAGGCTGGAATAATCGTCCATGTAGGGTCCCTTTTTTATCAGAATCAGACTGTTGAGACAGGCACCTGTGCATGCACTTAGGAGCTAAGGGCAGCACAGAGTCAACAGAGTGTAGCAGGGGAAAAAAGCATCAGTCCACTGCTGAACTGCATTTTACAGGGCAGGGTCTTCAGTACAGTCACTTTGTGACTGTTTGTTTGTTCTTTCAGTTTAAGTGGTGATGTATGCATACAATTTGAACTGGTTCCTGTGGGAGTTGGTATCCCTCAATGTTTGTCTGTTTTTTTGTTCTGTTTTTATAGCTGAGTGTGGATCTATTTATTAGTTATCACTCTGCATTTTGAAATACATAGATGCTTACCATTATAGCTAATAAATGAAGAAAATAGTTACATGTCATTATTTCTTTAGCATAGGATTGTGACATGATGTAATGGGGCCTGGTCTTACACTGTGTATTAGTGTTAAAACTTGTAATGACTTAATGTGAGTAGTATGAAGTCTTTAGCTGATTTTCAGGACTCTGGTACCTGACTAGGTCTCCTGCATTATAATACACTGCTGCTGGATGTCTGCAGCTTGCTCTATGGGAGTGGCAATTGGTAAGCGCCATGGACCACACTGTCCTATCACCAAATATGTTGAGCTCTTGGCCACGCAGTTACTGCCATTCCAAACCCTAACCCAAGTAGGAAGTTTGGTGTCAGCTGTAAATAGAGGGATAATCGGCTCCTCTTGATCAGCTGACCCAGACTGGAATATTTTAGTTCTATGTTATTTTTAGAAACAAAGGGGATTTAGTAGGAAAAACGGTTTGCTTTTAGTAGTATTAGAAATTAGGGCACCTAATCCAATGAGTGTTGAGTTTTATGAAATAGCTGGTTAAAAAAAAAATAATAAAGAGGGAGAGGTGAAAGAGTGCTCATATACTTTAATCCAAGAGGGCCCATGGCAATAACTTACTATGTGATGTAACGCTGCATAGAGTTTTCACAGATATTTGTGTCTATGCATAAACTGCTCTGTTTTGTAGAAGTAACGAAGTCAGAGATCATTATCTAATTTTGCTAATGCAAAGCTGGTGAAAACCTTAGTAGAGGAGCTGGTGTATGCTGTCCTCACAAATGGAGCTAGGAGTATAAGCCATGTCTCAGTTCCCTGCACATTAAATGCCTGACATTAAATTGTTGTTGAGCAATGGAGCTGGACTACTCTCAGAGAAAATGGCATGTCAGTAAAGTGTGAAATACAGAGGTTGTCACTGAAATACAGTATGCAGAGGAGAGCATAGCATAACAGTTTGTGACACCAGTAATTTGTGTCTTACAAATAAGATACTACAATCTTAGGAAAGTCTACCTGAAAAATATACTTGAATGATAATGACTCTTCATATTTATGTAACTTACCAACCTTCAAAATAGGATTCTTCAGTGGCTAAATAAAAATTCTAGAAAGGAATATAGTGAAAACTGAAATACTGCTGATCTTGCATCCAAAAAGAATGGAAGTGAAATATCCATATGATACGGGTTTGGTTATAGGGAGCCTCTGGTCTTCAGACTGTGCAGATTGTTTACTTCCTGGTGTGTTACATGAGTAGTTTAATGTTTGCATTGTTTTATAAAAGTTCTAATAGCCGAAGAGCTGAATTTGATTTGCAATTTAGTAGGTTAAACTTCCTTTTCATGTTTTTGATCTTAGGTTGGCAGCCTCGGTGGTTTGTGTTAGACAATGGGATATTGTCATACTATGATTCACAGGATGATGTTTGCAAAGGCAGCAAAGGAAGTATAAAGATGGCTGTGTGTGAAATAAAAGGTAAGAGTTAATAGATTTCTGCTTGAGGAAATTTTAGCTGCTGGGGAAATGGAAAAGACCACACAATGTACACTTTGCATCAGAAGCTTTTCCTCCTCTGTTTTTGTTTATCTAGTCCAATGTGACAAAGAAAAATGTTTTTGCCAGAGCTCTGTTTTGAGATTTGGAACCCACCGTATGTTCCTTTTTTGGTTTAAATAGTTTTGTGCATGTGTCTTATGCTTTAAGTTACGTTGCCTGGTTACTTAGTTCTACTACTTATCCCTCTCATGACCAGGAGTAAGAGACTGATTCTTAAATGCTAGTTTTTCAGAAGAGCAGCAGCAGTGACCCGAAAGAGGAGATTTTTATGCACCAGAAATGTTTAGTCTTCTGTTTTCATGAGTCATTTTTACTTTTGTCACTGTCAGCAGCTGTCCACATGTATGTGATGGATGCATTAGACAGACTCTGAGTTTAGCCTTTAGTGTATTCCAAGCTGTAGGTCAGCCTCCTTGGCTAATAGCATGGCACTGTCTGACTCTCCGTTGCTTTCTGCTCGTGACCTATTTCCAGATACCTGCAGGGCTTGTGTTGTGGGTATTTGTGTATTAAAAAGTATGACTACTACTTTTACATGGGCCACCAAATATTTTTCATGTGGTAACTCCTTTTTCTTACCGTTTCCTTGCTGTAGATGAAATTAGTGATGTAAGGTGGAAGATCCTATTTCAGTTGTTTGTTTTGCTTGTCATCTTCTTTTGGTTCAGGAATAATAATTGCTGAAGTCTGGATTTGGTGCAGTCCCCTGCATCCATGGCTAGTAAGGAGTGGGTCTGGAGGAACGGTAGCTGATGACATGGAACTCAGCAGAGTATTCCGTTTAAGATGTAGCATTGAATATAATAGAAGGTGAACCAAGTTCACCTCAGTTCTTGGTTCTAGGACTCTGCAACCTAAGCCAGATTTCATCTATAAGGGAGTTTATAAATGATTGTTACTGAGTTGAGGGTTTTTTTTAATTGTGGTTTTTTTTTTTTTTTTTTTTCCCCTCCTCTGTCATAAGTTCATGCAACAGACAACACAAGAATGGAGCTAATCATCCCAGGAGAACAGCATTTCTATATGAAAGCAGTTAATGCAGCTGAAAGGCAAAGGTGGCTGGTAGCACTGGGGAGTGCAAAAGCCTGTTTAGCAGATACCAGAACAAAAAAAGAAAAAGGTATGTGTGTTACCTACAGCATATACGTATACCTTACTGTTTTTTTTTTAAATGCTTGTTATCAAATAATGATAGTGCAGATATTGTGGTAGAAAGTCAGTATTGTTGTATTTAAATATAAATTGTAATTATTTCTAGCCATTTATATGGTAAACTCCCTCTTGATGTTTGGATTAGAGGTTACCTCCATTGAATTCTTCCATCTTATGAAGCTGAAATACCAGCAACTTGCTATCCTTACAAGAACAAACATACTGTTTGTAGCTGTTGTGAAGCCACTTAATTTCTGATGTTTTGATTCTTTATAGTTACTATTGTTTTTTCTGTAGTTTTTCTTGGGTAGCTTAATGTAACCATTTCCAGCCACTTTAATGAGCATAAATTTCATCCACTAAACTTTTTTCTACATTGCATTGCAGCTAAGAAAGACTTCAACTTCCTATTTCGTAGTAATGTGCCTCTTTCTTAGTTGTCATTACATTAGCATCAGTTAACCAAAACTACAAACTATTGTCTGCTTCAAGTACAGTTCTTGACTCATTGCAGAATCCAATTTTACTCAAAATTAAGTGAAAGTGTAAGTGAATTTCTAAATTGATACTTAAATGAAAAGTGCTTAAGAATTTAAACGTGCATATACATTGCATGAGGTAAATTGATATTTTGTTTATTTTTTTTAATAGAAATAAGTGAGACCAATGAATCTCTTAAAACCAAAATGTCCGAACTTCGTCTCTACTGTGATCTTTTAATGCAGCAAGTTCATACAATACAAGAATTTGTTCACCATGACAAGACTCGCTCTCCTCCCAGCATTGAGGTACAGAATTTCTAGCATGCCATTGGAGAACCTTATTATATAATATACCTCAAGTTTCTGTTGACATCTTATGCCTTTTTTATTTCCCTGATGTTGGGAGATTTAATCTAAAGTCAGTTTTTGAGTGCTGGTATATATGCACATATCACTGTTAGTATTATATTAAAGTACCTGGATGATCTTAAAACTGTAATTATCATGTGTATTAGGAAGCAATTGTGTTATTGAGCCATTTGCTTAAAAGGCCAGAAGAGCTGCCATGTGAGTTATGCAATAATTTGTCTTGTTTCGCATCTCTGTTATGGGCAGAGTAGTTGCAACAATCTTGTTTGTCTATTCTTTACTTCCTTGTGTTGGAGCATATTCCACTTTGTTACCAGTGAAAGCTAGTGTTACAGGTACTGGAAACCTGTGGTGAAGGTAAGTCTCTCTGAATAGGCACAAGCAAAATTATTCTAGTGCTTCTGCTTTTCAATGAAAGTCAGTACTGGAAATTATGAATGGCTTCGTTCTGTACGTTTGTGAGCAGGGTGTGGACATCAGTGTTGTCCACTTAGGGTAGAGCAAGGGGTTGACAGTCACAGCACGGGAAGGAAGCTCTTGTCAGTTTGCAGCAAGGTGAAAGTGACCTGCAGGCTCCTTGTGGTGGGGCGATAAAGCTGTTTGTGGGTGCTGCTGTGGGTCATCTGTTTCACTGAATGATCTCTGATGCCAGCTAGTCACTCTGAGACAAACTTTGCAGTAAAATCATTACAGCGTTGTTGGCTGATACCCTAAAGACATTCAGAAAGAAATTACAATGCTGCCACATTTGTTTGCTTAAATTAACCTCATCAGAAGGTGTATATTTGATTAAATAAAATGGGAAATGGAAGCTTAGTGGTAAGGAGGATAAATTACTGTGTGTGGTGGTGAGGGAGAGTTCTGTTTACAGCTTTTTCTTTTTTCTTCTTGCTAATGCTTGTGCTTTCATTTATTTTCAGAACATGAATGAAGCCTCTTCCTTGCTTAGTGCCACATGTAATACATTTATCACAACACTTGAAGAATGTGTGAAGATTGCTAATGCCAAGTTTAAACCAGAAATGTTCCAGCTGCCTCATCCTGATCCCCTGGTTTCTCCTGTGTCACCATCACCTGTCCAAATGGTTTAGACATTTTGAAATACTATTTTTTTGATAAGTGTCATGTTGTTGGTTGGATGGGCGGAAGAATGGCAGAAGACTGGGCTATTGCTATGTGCTATGATGTCAACAGTTGAAATCTTGACTTTGTTATGATCACCTAAATATAAATCAGTAATTTTCCATTCCCAGCCTCGTTTGCCTTTACGTAATCAGAGTACCTTATTGTACATGTCAAGGCCCTGTAATGAAGTATCTCGTAAATGAATGAGGTTTAACTTTTCCTTAGTTCAACTGTTTCTTTGGGTTTTTTAGAATGCTAACTGTACACTGATCTTAAATTCCATAACCTTGCCTCCTGTTCAAACAGATCAATGTCTTGTGGCTTGAAACACTTCAGCAAGATAGCATATCTTTCAGTGTATATAATTAAAAATATATTAATTTATCAGGCCCTATTTAACAAAAAGATAAATAATGGCAGACATTACTTGTATAAATCTTCGTGATGGATTATTTCACTTAGAAGGACAGTGTATGTGGAATCAAATGTGGTCTTGACCATATGTATAGATTCCAACATGAGCTGTGTTGTGCAGGTTTTTTGTTTGTGGGAATACCTTTCTTTGCACTCAGATTTCTTGTCTCTTTATCTGCAATTAATTAACTTACAGAGCTGATATTTATTGATTTAAATTAATAAGCTTCTATGTTATGCACTGAGGTGTGACAGTGTAACCAGAAGAACCACAAGGAATCAAGAGGCAGGATTTGGCTTTATTGTGTAATGGGGAATTTAAACTGGCATTTGGTGTAGGAAAAATGTCTTTATTTTGTACATCATAGCAATTAACAATTGGCTCTGTGAGTGACTTTGGAGCAAGAGAGAATGAATTTCCTAGAAACTAGGTAGTATTTTTTGTAGTAAACTATTTCTTGTGTGAATGCTTTAAAACTTTTGATATTGATGGCAATCCATGTATTTTCATATAGTTAAATCTGATTTTTAACTAAGAATGGTGCATTTAATTAAAAAAAGAAAGATTGCCCTCCCTCTTTGTAGAGACTATAAATAAAGTAGAAATTAGTGTATATATGTGTAGTATTCTTAAAAGTAGCTTGTGATATTTTTGGTGTGGTTAGTTGTTTGTTTGTATGCTTTTTTCCTCCTAGATGAAGCGTTCCATTAGCCACCCTGGTCCTTGCTATTCAGAAAGGTGATTTTCTATTTCATTAAGCTTTTTTCTTATGTCTCAAAAAAATCTTCCTGAACCTGATAGCATTAAAATGAAAATGTGAGAATTGTGCACTTGAGGGGAAAAAAATTAAACCGCATAAATTGATATAATTTTGAAAACTAAGGCTGCAGATTATCAGTGTTGCTGGTTAATAGAGCAGCTCCTGTCTCTAACACACTATAAAAATTTCTTCATGCTAGAAACTGTGCAAATGGATTATTCTGTCAAGTTCATGAAATTAGACATGGAGCTTGAAATGCTAACATTCTGTTTGGATCAGCATGTCAGGCTGCCAAATTATTTTCTTCTACATGTGAAGATTATCATACACTTTTATTTCCATTTTCAGACTTCATAATTGTGAAAATTAAGAATGTTCTGTTGACTGTGCCTTTTTTAGTTTAGTACAGTGAAAAACATTCTTACGCTTTAAGCACCAAAATTATTTTAAATTTAAAGCATATTAAGTTTGAGTGGGTTGTTACAGATTTTGCTTACTAATATATCTCACTTCTTTTGTAGGAATAATCACTCTGTAAAGGAACCAATTTCATCCCTTCACCGATTTTCACAGCGGCGCAGAAGAACGTACTCGGATACAGAATCTTACAGTGATACGCCCTTTGAAGATTCTCAGAGTAAGTTTGGAAGAAGGATAATTTTCTTTTGTTTCTTTCTGTACAATTTATTGTCCTGGTTACGGCAGCTATTCTAGTACCAATATCAGCATGAAGAAAAGTTTTCTTCATTATGCAAAGTTTGGTTGTAAGATTCCTGTATTATAAATCAAATCACTTCTGTAGCTTACGTGGCTGACTTTTGCTGGCTTTAATTCATATTGAAAAAGATCTTACAGCTGGAGTAGTTGTGCTGAAATCATTGAGACTACTGGCAAGATAAAATTGAGACATAACCAGAAAAGGGATATTTGTACTAATAGAATCTTGCCTCCCGTGTTCTCGCGTATTGCAGGATGACCACCTCTTTCACCTCACTCATCTGCTGCCAGCACAGCGTATGCCAGCATGTATCCTCAGCTAATCAGCTTAGCTGAGATCCTGTTCTGGGTCTTATTGCTAATGTAGGTGCACATCAGTCTAGCTTCCTGTAACGCAAGGCTTTTGTTGTTACCGTTGTTGAAAATTAGGTACTTGTTGGTATCTCCATAGGATCTGCTCACTGTTCTAAAAGTGCTGTCAATGGAGATCTGGTATCATCAACCATTCCTGAAGAAAATCGATTGGTATCAAAGGAAAGATCTGAACTGGAAGAGACTCTTTCATCCTTTTCTTCTTGAAGAAACTGAAAGTATTCAATTTTCTATAAATAATGCTATGCAAAGGCTGCTGTAATTATACTGTTGATATAGGAAGTAGTCATTTCCCTTTTTAGAAGGATTTCTCTGCACTTTATAGAACAACATAAAAACTATCTTTGAAGTGTATTTTATCTTTATATAGTTTATTTGCAAGAGTATTTTCCTAATATTTCACAGTTTGAATGTGCATTTTTGGAACAAATGATGGCTTAACAGATAAGCATCCACATTTGTAAATGTAGCTCTTTTTAAAAAGTGTGAAGGTCTGACTGATACATTAGTAAACTTGAAGGTTATAAACTTTTTCTTTTCTTTTCCTGGAGAAAATGCAACTTGTGCCATGGGCCTTTTGGTCGGTTGTACCAGGTCATGCACCAGGAGCTGTGATTAGCCCTGCAGTGGCTTTTTTGTCTGTGTAAGGGCTGTGGGAATGGGCACTAATGGGTTTGCTCTAGCAGCTTGACAGTAATTGACATTGCCTTCTTTAAAAACATAAGGATATACATAATCTGGTCCTTATTTTTAGCCAATGAAAGTAGAAATATTTAGTGTATTTTTCTAAAGAAATGTATAAAATAACTTAATATAAAGCATTTGTACCAAACATTGGATATTTAATAATTTTTATTTATTATTTTTTGCATCAGAAGTTTCTACCTACTTTCACTTCTGAAGATCTACTAAAGGCTTCAAAATGTGCATAAGTTGTTTCTGGGGTGTGTAGCATGACAAGCAGCTAATGCAGCATTGTTAAGATTTACTTTGCCTAGTTAAGACTTTTTTTAGCAAGTATTATAGAAGCAAGAGCTGAAATATTAGACCATTAAGCTGCTGTTGTAACGAATATTTGTATCTATACGTATTTTATTTATTACATATTTATACAAAAGGGAGCTTCTGTTTTTGCAACTCCTTTATATCATTTGAGATTGGTATAAACCAGGAGATAGATTCTGCTCTCAGTTACATCAGTGTAAATTTGCATTAACTGTAAGTGAGATTGGAGTCTGACTCTCCTAATTAATGAGTAATACAGTATAACAGTGCCTACTAGCACCTTGGTCCATAAGGTTGTTAGGGTTTGCATTGTAAGCTTTTTGGGAATTTTTGGGTATTCATTTAGGGATAAACTTGGTCTATAAAGTCTTAGCTGCAGAACACTTTAAGCAAGCCGTTTACTGTTTTTTGATTTACACAGTTGTTAAATAAATGTACAGGGTTTTTTGCACTCAAGCACATACCAAAATCTGTGTTTATAATCAAATATTCTTTAATTTGGTTAAACTAGTCTTCCTTTTGTGTATACGAATAAGTTGGTGTTTTTGAAGCAGACTGGAAAGGACAGGTGGAATGAAATGGAAACTTTCCTTATAAATTTCTGGAATGCTGATTCATCTGAATCAAAATAGGTCCAAACACTGAGGAAAAATATATGAGCTGTTGTCCATATACAAAATCACAGTTTATAAGCCATTATGTCAGGGTCGAATGGAATGCCTTGTACAAGTAAAGTCTTATTTGTGGTTATCAGCTTAGGGCTGTCATTTGTGCTCAGTTCTGTCAGTTTTCATGCAACTAGCATTTGCATCTGCATATCACCCACACACATACTTGTACATTTTTATTTCTCCTGAATGTTTGCTTTAATGTATTCTGTATGACAGTTGTAAAAATAAGTATTAAAAAAGATGTTCAGAGGAGTAAACTACATATTTCAGTGAGTGTTGTCTTGAATCATATGCTGTCTTAGAGCTGCTTTTTGAAATTTCACTGAGCTTTCTGCCAGCTTGTACAGTGTTAAGTACATGTCACGTTAACAGACATCTTTTTCTGGCTTTCAGCTACTGCAGAGAAAATAGTTTGGACTCCACATTGTGCAAAAAAGACTTCTGAGACTGATCAGTGCACGGAGAAGTAAATAATAGGAACTTTAAATACTGCCACAGTTAGGATTGTTTAGAAAAAATGCCTAGACATTTTCCACAAAGTTTTAGTTACAGTGGCAGAAGCAGGATGTAGTTGCCCTGTGTGGGTCTGACTCATTTTTCTACACACTGGCTGTCATTTTCTGACAGGCCAGAGTACCTCTGTCATCCTTTCACCTTTGTACTGCTGCTGTTAGTACTATGACATATTCCAGTGTGGGAATAACTGAATGATCTGGCTTTGACTGTGTTATACTTTGGGTTTTTTTAATAGACATTAGGCATTCTGATTTTTTTTTTCTTTTTTAAATCAAAGGTCATTATCATCTTCAAAAAGGGGAAGGCAAAAACGAAAACAACTAGAGGAGATTCAGTTTTAATACTTCATCAGAGATGTGAGGTTTTTGTGTTCTGTTCATATAATTTTCTCCCAGGGAAGGGAAAAGTCTTTGAAACGGGAGATGATGGTAAAAATTGAAGTACCATGTTAAGACTATGGTTTCTTGTCTGCTTGTGGTAAAATGAATCTCTTACTGTGATGGTGGGTAGCCATAATAACATTTCTTTTTTTTTTTTTTTGTTTTTTGAGGCTGCCCAATGTAAAATGCCAGTAGAGAATGTATAGCCCTACAGCAGAATTTGTACAACAGCTCACAGAGCTTTGCTAAGAAGTTTTTCCTTACATGTTAGGAGCCAGGAAGCGAGTCCAAATGCCTTCACACACATACAGTGATAGGATATTTTTCAGATCTTGTTCCTATGGTGCAGTAGGTTTTATCTTCAAAGAGAGGAAATGTCAGCTTGTACAATTAAAAATCCCAATATTTGACCTGAATATAATAAGCAAGTAATTTAAAATGTTTATTGCTCATTTTATGTTTATTTTTTATCCAGAGACTGCTTAATCTATTGTCTTGAAAAATGTTACTGTTTATGGATATGTTCTTAATACTGAAGGTTTAGTTTGAGACTTTATCAGTGTCACTCTATATTATCATTCACTTAGCAGTCTTGTGGGAAAAAAAAAAAACAACTGGCTCATCAGACTGGCATGTGAAGTTATCTGTTAAAGCTGTGCTTCAGCAAAGCCTGTAAGTACTTTAAGTCCTATTTTTAGACATCAGTGGCTCATCTGCTTAAAGTTAGGTGTGCTTGCCTAAGTACTGTGCAGAGTTGGGCCAGAGAGGTACAAACAGAACGAACTTGCTTATGCTGCCACACCATTGTGCTTTCTTTCTGGTCAAGAACATATATCTAGACTCAGTAGAGGCCATGGAGGACTGAGTTTCAAGTAATGTTGTGGAGAAGAGTCCATGCTTACGTCTGCAGATGTTCTCTGTCACTATTACTTTCTGCTGAGACGACAGAGTAGTGTGTTTTTAGTGTTAATTTTATGTGTCAGTGTAAATAAGGTAGTTGTTGGTTAAACAAGACTGTACCTGTGTATTTTTGGTCTTGTATTGAGTTTGTTGGTTTATGGGTGGTTTTTTTTTTTAAACATTCTAATGGAGTTAGAATGAGAAGTTTTCTTGCATGGTTTTTTTTGGTGTGGTTTTTTTTGGGGTGTTTTATTTTTTGAATGCTTTAAATATTGAAATAAATGGGCCTTTTAACCTAATTTTTATTATTCCTTTTGACTTTCCTCTGTAAGGAAGAAATATCATACACTCTTAAACTTTTTCACCTTTATGATTGTTTCTAAAGGTTCCTGGTTCCATCACTTGAATAAGTCCAGATCTTGTTCTGACCCAAAACAGGTCTTCTGAAATCCTTTAGCCCTTATCTCATCTGCATTTATTAGCTTTCCTTCATCATTTGGATAGCTAGTGGTTGATAGTATATAGGTTTATAGGAAATGAAAAAATCTGCTTCTATAGTGAGTCTTTTTGGAATAGGTTTTTAAACATGTTAACTGCTTTACTACTTCTGATACTACCCCTGGGCTTTTGTTTAGTAGTAGCAGTATGCTGACAGTTGTAGTGTTGCCTAGTGTTGCTCAGTAGTGCCTCTGCTCCACTTAAGAGAATTGTACAGCCCCTGAAGCAGTGTTGCATTGCTTGAGTGTATTTGCTGTCAAGCTTTTTCTACTAACCAGTGTGAATTCTAGAAGCAGTTGTTCCTTTGACCTTGATACTCTTTTTCCCATAGATAACCAAAACTGTGACCTGCCTATATGGTATTTGTGATCCCTCCCAGGAATGTAAAGACGGGCTTTGCTCCTACAGATATGTCAGCTGATCTGAGGGATGAAGAAATGTTGGGGCATGGGCCCTTAATCACCCATGGGAGGTGAGAACTTGTAGCTCCAGGCAGTTAGGGTCTGTCTATACTAGTTGCAGCTACCAAAAAAAGCCAGGCAATAGCAAGGTTTCCTGAGGCTGTTTTTTAACCACTTTGAGCAGAGACCAGCTCTAAAAAAGAGATTAGCAATTTATCCACATCGAGTCTAGTGGAAGGCCTGGAAATTCACTTGTTAGGGATAAGAACAGTCTAATGCTTAGTTATGTGCTAGAATTTATTCTTTGTCAATAAAGAAAATGAAGAAAAGTTTGTTTTTTTTTTTAAAAAAAAAAGTGACTGTTTTTAAGGTTGACTTTTGGGTGGCCAGGCTGTTTCTGATAGATGGCTGGATGTTCAACAGTTAACTACCTGGCTTACACTGGAGAATTGCTTTTCAATGTAGTCTTGTCTTTTCTTTCAACAGCTCTTTCTCTGTAGTGTACTAGGTTTGCGTAGCAGGGAGGGGCTGCAGGGGTGGCTTCTGTGAGAAGCTGCTAGACGCTTCCCCGGGATCAAAGTCAGACCCTGGCCAAAGCTCAGCTAATTAGCACCTCTGATTAATGTATTTAAGAGCAGGATGGGAGGAGGGGTGGAAGCCTGTGCTGGAGCAGTTTGTGAAGAACTGCAGCCAATGGGAAGGATTTGTGTTGGAGAAGTTTGTGGAGGACTGTCTCCCATGGGAGGGACCCCATGCTGGAGCAGGAGCCAGAGTGGAAGGAGTCCTCCCTTGAGGAGGAAGGAGCGGCAGAGGTGTGTAGGGACATGATTTAGTGGTAGTGTTAGCAGTGTTGCGTTAATGGTTGGCCTTGATCTTAAAGGTCTTTTCCAACTAAAAAGATTCTATGATTGTATTTTCTCCTCCCCATCCCACTGGGGAAGAGGAGTGGGCAAGCAGCTGTGTGGTACTTAGTGACCAGCCGGGCCTAAACCACAGCATGTAGTCAGTACAGGAACTATAAAAACAGAGCATAATAAATAAATAGTCACAAATTTTATGGTGCAGAAAGCATGCTTTATTTCAAATGAACAATTCTATCTCAAGGAGGTTCAACAGCTAAATTACTACATTAGGAGAACTAAAGCAAATTGAAGTGCAGGGCGGTATTTGATGTTGTAACAACAGTTTGGTTTTTAAACTGTGGTTCGTTGCTTAGTTGCCCAGAAGTGACTACTGGATGTCTAAATCTACCACACAAACTCAGTCACTGCATCCTACAAACCTCCGAGAAGGGGTACTGCTGCTGCACTTGAGTGCCTAAATAGCTTTGTTGATTAAGGGGATGGCCAGGTGATGTTACTTTTTTAAAGCTATTCAGGCAGTCAGTATGTCAGAAACAGTACATAGATAGTGGGTGAACAAAGTGCTGGCCGCTTGCACTTTGTCCAAGAATTGTCAGTCAGGTATGGAAATTATGACATAATCGGATCCAATGTAAAACATTAAAGCAATGCTTACAGGAGGGTAATTGCAAACATCACCAATGCCTTACATTTCTGATTCAACATAAATATTCGTGCATGTATGAAATACTATGCACAGTATCATCTCTTAGGTATAGGTAATCTTCAACAGGGAGCCTCTCTACCTGTTGAGGCATTCTTAGACATCAACAATGAGTTGAGGCGCAAAAATTAGTTAAATGTTGAGCAGGGTAGTCGTTTGCTAGGAAACTTTCTCCTACCAACGCTTAGTTCCAAAAGTTACGTTTCAAAATGTCATAAAATAAATGGTACAAAACTTCATAACCGTTAACTTCGGCTATATACAGTATGTACATGTCAGTGAAAAAAGTGTTTAAAATTCTTAGGTCAATAATGACTATAAGTCACATTGTATAGCTCTGGACTTTGTCTCATTCAGGTAGGTACAAAAATATTTTTTTTATATTTACAGATCAGATATTTCAGTCCATATATGAATCACTTGTAAAAAGACAAGTGTAAATAATACAGATCAAGCTCTCTAAATTGATCGAATACTAATATTCACAGTGGCAGAATCGGTACCAAATTCATTTCCTAAATTCAGGGTATATAGTCCACCGTCATTCTTCTGGACATCCATGATGATCAGGGTGGTTAGATCTTCGCTGGTTTCAATGTGGAATCTACCCTGCTGGTCCTGACTGGTAATTTTTCTCCCTCTGCAGTACCATGTTATTTCAGGAGCAGGTTCACCCGAAAAGGCACAAGACAGTGTGAGAACTTTTCCTTCGTCAATGCTGATATCAGATGGGAGAGCTTCAATTTTGGGTGGTACTCCTTTACAAAACAGGAGAAGAAATACCAAGTTAGTCTGTTTCCATTAAGCCATGCAGCAGGTTTACTATGAGGAGTACTTCAGGGTACTAGAAGCACTAACTCTACCAGTAAGTGTATTGCTCACCTCTCAGACCCGATTTAAGCATTTTACTAGTTGAACTCTCCAGTTGAGCCATACTAGACTTCCCCATAATACTGCTGGAGCTCATCTCTACAAAGGATTCTTTCATGGAGGACATGCTTTTGGCAGACATGCTTGCAAATTTCATTTCGGTCATGCTGCTACTGCTGAAACTGCTGAATGAAGCCTCTTGTTTAGAAGAAGCCATTTGAAAGGACTGAGAAGAAAAACTTTCGTGCATGCTTGCGTCGCCACTTGTCTTCAATACTACCTCTTTTGGAGGTTCTTCAATTAGAGCTGGGAAGCATCGCAAACATAGAAGGAAAAACCAATAACGTCACATTAACGAACGAAGTCATGCAGTTCTATACGGGTAGTTTTACAGAAATGAAGAGACAGCATAGTTGGCTTTCAGTGGAAAACTGCAGTGAACGATAGAATTGTTTAGAGTCATTTGATTCAAGATGTCCAAATCACAACCACTAATTTATAAATGAAACAAGTAGGAAATGGAACTGTTACTGGTATGTATGAGCTTGAAGAAAAAACATTCTTCAGAAGAAACAGGTCATCACACAGCGTTTCCTACTAGAACCATTACTAGAATTAGACCCTGGGAAATTCTGTGTGTTCGGTTCATGTTTGTAGAACACTTTCAAGTTCTTATGAGCATGGTATAAGAAGTTTCACTGCATTGATCTGTAGCTATAAAAGGCAAGAGCAAAAGTGCAATTACTGTAGCATTCCTTCAAAGCCAAGCGCAGTCATACAAGCAAATCGTAGCAATCCCTTGATGCTAGGAACTGGGGTAGGGTACCGCCGATAAAATACTAAACCCAGTTCAGTTATGGCTAAGTTACCATAAACATTTTTAATTGTTGGATTACTTATTTCAATTGGAACAGATTCTGTAAGTAAATGAGGAAAGAGTAATTGCCAGCATCAAGGTTTTAACACAGTCATCCTAGAAGGAACGTTCATAGCCTTCTGTTAACATGCAGCTATTGGTGTAATAGGGCATCTATTGCTTGTCTGTGGGTGTTACAAAGATTTCTAATGCTGTTTTAGTTCTGTATATATAATATACAAAAGAAATAGAAACTTGTTAAAATAGCTAAATCAACATTGCCAGTAGTTCTTATTGTAAGTCATTTTAGTGGACTTGCAACAGCAAAAGGTTGTGATTTGTCTGAACAAAAGACCTGGAGAACAAACTTACGGAGTACAGTCAAAGATGCTGTAGCAGAGCACTGCCCATGGTAATTTTTTGCTTTTACTGTGTATTTTCCAGTGTCACTTACTGCTGCATTTCGAATCTCAAGAGAATATATATTTTTAGAGCGTGTTACTCTGATGTGCGATGAAATAGCAATCTGAGGAGGAGAAAAAAATGTTTTAAGGTAGAATTATTATAAATATTATTGTAACATTTTTTTGATTTTTCAAGTAAATAAATTAATACTTACAGGTTGATTATTCTTAAACCACTCAATTTCAGGAGAAGGATCCCCAGAAACTTCACAGGTGAACAATACATCTTGTCCTTCATTCACATTCTGAGACTTAGGCTGCATGATAAATGCTGGTTCGTTGGAGAGCTCTTTAGAAAAGTTCAGGACATACTGGCATTTAATAATGCCTTCGTCAGTTCTCCCCTCACAAGTGAGTATACCTTCATCTTTATTACTAGCCTTTCTGATAGTTAGTGTGTGATCGCTTCCAGAAACGCCGTATCTATAATCATCTGAATTTCTCAGCTCCATTCCATTAAGCACCCATTTTACTTCAGAGGCGGCAGGAATGTTGGCTTTCAATGTCACTTTCTGCCCTTCGGACACTGTCATTTTAGTTGAAGAAGCTTTAATTTCTGCTTTCAATTGTTTGACATCTTCAGTAACAACTGATTTCTTAATGACTTCTTGAACTGCTGCTTTTTCTTCAGCTGCCACTGCTGATTTCTTCTGGGTAGAAACTGTAAGCACCTCATCTTCTTTCTGAACTGATTTATGAGTTTCAGATACACCTCTTACCTGGGAATGGATATTTTTAAATACTTGACCAGTAAACCGGAAGTCAGTTTTTGAAACACCTCCTTCCCCAATAATTTCACACGTGTATTCTCCTTTATCAGATTCCATGAGGTCATGGATTTTGAGCTCATAGGTGCCATCTGCTGCATAATGAAACTTGAAATGATGGTCTTCTTTCAGTTTTTTGCCATCCTTATACCACGCCACTTCTCTGACACTTAGAACACTGCTTTCAACTGCACAGGATAACTTCACCTTATCTCCAAGTGTTTCTGCTTTCAGATGCTGTTTTATCTTTGGTGGAGAGGCAGCTGGTAATTGTACTTTCTCTGTTGGTACTGTTTTGTCTCCAGGTGGTGACTTTGCTTTTGGGGGGCTGCTGATGGGTTCAGGAGATTTCACTCGTTTAGGAGACTTAACTGGCTCTGGAGACTTTACACGAGGCTCAGGAGATTTGATTTTTGGAGGTGATGTAATTGTTTTTTCAGGAATTTTTGTTCTTTGAATGGTCAAAGTAAAATGCGCTTCCTGTCTTCCTTCAGAGTTTTCCACCACAACCGTGTAACTTCCTTCATCTGACATCTGGACTGAAGAAATTTCAAAGGTAGACTTGTACTGTGTTCGTGTTACTTGGAAGCGCCTCGAAGAAACAACGGGTTGACCTGCACGGAACCATGTTATTGTTGGTGCTGGTTCACCATCAACATCACAGGAAAATCTTGCAGTCTCCCCTTCCGAAACTGTGATTGACCGTGGTTTTGTAAGGATTGTTGCTGGTAGAGTGCTTTTAAATGCCTTGTGTACAGTCCTTTCTTCCAATGATTTTTCTTCAGCTGCAGTGATTTTTTCTTCAGAAGCAGCATAGTGTTCGTATGATAAAAGTGATTCTCTTGTTGCTGACATTTCTGATTTGACCTCTCTTACAGAGGAACTTGCTTCTGTAGCAGATGCTTTCTTAAATGAGGAGACTGCATATGCCTCTGTCTTCATCAAGTCAGGTAAAATTGACCTTGGTACTTCTTCATCTCTCCTCTGGGAAGAGTATGTAGTGTAATCTCCTCCAGTAACATCTAGTGTTGCGTAATCAGAGCATTCCCCTTTGTAGTTTGTGCATACAGCTCGGTACGTTCCACTGTCATCAATGTGGCAGTCGAGAATCTCCAGAGTTAATACACCGCTGGTATTAGTAAAATGTATCTTACTGCTCTCTTGGAGCTCAATACCATTATGGTACCATTTCACTTCAGCAGTTGGTTTTGACTGGACATTTAGAATGAACCTGGTATTATGGCCACATGGTACCCGATGTGAGCGCATTCTCAGGGTAATGCGAGGAGCATGATCAAGGGTGAAAGGCTGCTGAGTGAGAACTTCATATTTCCTTTCCATTGTTTTCTGAGTTTTCAAAGCAGATTTCATGGACTCATATCTAGAAAATATATCAAATCTTGCCATCCTCTCAAATCGAGAGAGCGATCTTTCACTAGAAACTGGGCTAGGTGAGCGTGGTCGTGTTCTCTCTGGTGTTGGGGATCTTCTCTCACTTTCTTCAGGAGGCCGTGAGCGAGGTCGAATTAATTCAGATACAGGACGCATCAACTCAATGTAAGTTGGAGAAAGAGATCTTCTTCTCCTTAGTAACCTCGAGGGAGGTGAAAATTCCCTGTGAACGTGTTGCACCATTTCTATTTCTTCTTCTTCCTCTGATGTGATCTCAGTTATTTCTCTTTCTCTTCTTCTCCTGAGCCTACTCTTTTCCTCTTCTGCCATATATTCAAGCTCACTCCTGTATTCAGAGAGTCGTTGAGCAGTGCCAACAGGACGGAGCAATTCTTCATCCTCTCTTTCATCCATTATTCTTTGCTTTTGTTTAGGTGGTCTGTAGGCAGCCCTGTCATGGCGTTGACGAAGCTCTGCATAGCTTGCGCTGGTCTCAGCTTTAACTGGGATGTGATAGCTTGAATACCTCAGCTCCCTTTTTCTTTCTTCTGCTGAACTGACCTGTGCTCCTGCAGTAGAATACCGAAGGGCAGACAGTTCAAAGCGTGGGGGGCTTCTGCTTGGTGGGGAAGCAGAAAAGCCTAATTCCAGCTCTTCTTCAAGGCGCAGTCTTTCCTCTTCAGTTCTCTTCATGGCTAAATAGTCATCAATAGGCAGGAGTAATTCCTCATCAGACAAGTCACCAAGTGATCGTCTTCTTGGTCTATAGTAATATTCGTAGTCTGGAGATGGGGTACGCCGACGTGCTGGTCTCACAGTTTCAAGGTCATCTTGTGTTAGTTTTGGTATGCGCCATTTAGGCTTATACTGATCAGAAATGCGTGGCAGTGGCATCACGTAGAATTGCTCCCACCTGGAAAGACGTATGCGTTTCTGGCGTTTCTGAACAGTTCTCTCAAGTTTTCCTGGCATTTCGTACTGGTCTCGCAGCCTCTTGTACCACTTCATGTCTGACAGAGGCACAAAGTGTTTAATGTTCTGATCTTCCTCAAGAGTAGTACGCACATGTTTGCGAGGCTCTGGGACTTCATATGGCATACGAAGTCGTCTTTCTTCCTTCTTTTCTTCTTTCTTAATTTCATATTCACCTTTGACAGTCTTAGTGCTAACAGCTGGTTTGTATAAGATGGCAGCTTCTCTGAGAGCCTCTTGTGCGGTTTGTGTTAGTGGAACAGCTTCAACCCCGGAAAGGATTTCTGCCATTCGTAAGGTCTTGTCAATTTGCCTCTGTACATGCTTCTCCCGCTCTTCTTCAGTCTTGTACTCACGCTTGACATACTTCAAGCGCTCAACTTTTAGATAAGCCTGACAGCTTGTAGATCCAGCACTGTTTGTAGCAGTAACTCTGTAATAACCACTGTCTTCTGGTAAAGTATCTCTGATATGCAAAGCATAATAATCTAAACCTTCATGGATTATATCAAAGTTAGGACCAAAGGATAGAGGTTGACCATCTTTCTCCCACTTCAGAGTTGGTTTTGGTACGCCAGATACCCTGATCTCAAAACTGACGTTTTGGCCTTCTTGACATTCGGCATTTGCCAGCAGTCTTTTAAACATTGGCCTTAGTGTGGCATCTGCTGGAGGTGGATGGGGAATCACAGTCAGTTTAGCTTTGCAGCTGTCTTCGCCATATTTATTGCGTGCCACAATACTGTATTCAGCATCATCCTCTTCAGTGACGTTATTGATGACGAGCTGGTAAAGACCCTTGTCTGATTCAAAAGTATACTTCTTATCATCATCACCAGGTTTGATTTTCTGGCCTGATTTGAACCATGTTAAGCGAGGTTCTGGGTGAACTGTTATAGTTACTCCAAACCTGACATTTTCTCCAACGTATGCAGTGCGATTATACAAAGGCAGAGTAAATTCTGGTGGACGCTCTAATAGTCTCATAGTATCAACCCGTCGTTTCACTTTCCTAACAGTCCTGCATCTGTAGTGCTCAGAAATTTCTCTCACACCTTTAACAAAAAGTTCTGCATAAGAGCTGTCTTCACCGTAGTCATTTGCTACCTTGCATCTGTAGGTACCATCGTCAGATTTAGAAACATCTTTGACGTACATGGTTGCCACACCTTCTTCGTATTTGATTTCATATTTCTCATTGCTTTCTAATTGCCTCATACCGAAGTACCATGTGACTTGTGTGGACTGATCATAGTTTTCAATCCTGCATACATATTTGGCATGCCCTCCTTCTTCTGTAACAGTATGCTTTATCTGCCCAGCAATGGGACCAATGTCTATTGGTGCAACTTTAACTTTAGCCACCGTTATGCCTTTCTGAGATCTAATCGCACCTCCACAGGAAATGCGGGCTACTGACACAACTGTGTTCAACTCCTTCTTCACTAGAGTTTGGTAGTAACGCCTGTGCCTCAAGGTCTTGATGACTTTAGTGCTGGTCTTTTCTGTCTGCTGTTTTAGCCACGTGTGGTTAAGTGCTTCAGCAGCTGTCATCCGAGCTTTTCTTTCCTTTACTAGCAGGCGATCTATGAAGTCCATGGCCTCAATGCTTATTTCTTTGAATGCTTCATCATCAAAGTTGTATTCAGCATTTAGAATATTTTCAATAACTTGTTGATTTGTTTCAGCAATGAAAGGATTAATGCCACTGAGCAGTATATATGTTAGAGCACCAACTGACCACATGTCAGTAGCTGTGCTGACCAAATCATGATGATGTACTTCAGGTGCATAATATTCGGGAGAAGTGAACTGGAGTCTAAAGCTGTCCCCAGGCTTCAGTTGTCTGGCTTGACCAAATTCAATGATTTTAACTACAGAGCTTCTTCTTGTGAAGTAAATAATGTTGTCTGGTTTAATATCAAAATGTCCGATGCTGTGGCGATGTAAAAATTCTAGTGCATCGCAGACCTGGCGCACATAACTTACTATTTCTCTTTCGTTCAGTTCAAATGAAGCTGTGCTCATTCTTTCGAAGATGTCAGCTCCAGAAATGAATTCAAAGATCATGACCAATTCTTCTAGGCTCTCAAATGATTCATGAAGATACAGAATATTTTGGTGCCTAGCAATGTTTAGAATGGAAATCTCTTTCTTTACCAAAACTTGGTCAGCACCTTTTACTTTGACAAACTTCGCCAGGTAAGTCTTTTTTGAAACTGCCTCAACACATCGGTGTGCAATGCCAAACTGCCCACGGCCAAGCTCTTCCGCAATCATATATTTGTCATAGAGTTCCTTTGTAGAATAGTGACCTGCTTTAGCTGTGGTGACTTCTCTGGTCTCATCAACTTCTTCATCATAGTTCATTACTCTGGTCTTATCCTCTTTTGTTATAATTGGATCAGTAGGTTCAGAAGGCTGGCTTTGGCCAAACTTGTTTTCTGCAATTACACGGAACTGGTAGCTGGTCTTGCCAAATAGATTCACCACTGTGTATCGTGTATCACGAGCTTGTGCCACACGAATCCATCGCTCTGCTGTTGTTGCACGTTTCTCAATAATGTAGTTTATGATTCTGCTTCCACCATCAGTAGCTGGTTCATTCCAGGTTAAGTTAACTGAATCCCTTGAAATGTCAGTTACCTTCAGACCTCTTGGTGGATCAGGCACATCAGCAACATCTAATTCAACTGTTTTTTGATCTATTCCAAATCTGTTTTTGGCGCAAACAATGTAAAACCCTGCATCTTTTCTGTCAACGCCATTTGGGAAAACAAGAGATGTGAATGATCGTGTAACAATGACTTGGTAGTGTCCATTAGTATCGATAAGGTCTTGTCCCTTCTGCCATGTGATCACGGGAGGAGGCTTGCCGCTGAATGGAATCTTGATGCTCACTACTTCCCCTCGGAGGGCATGAACAGCTCCCATGCCTTCCAGGTTTTTGGGCAAATGAATCTTTGCAGGAACTGGAATAGAAAGAGGAAGAAAACACATTACCAAAAGCACATGAAAAGAGCACCAATAGTATAAATATTCAAAGCCTAAAAAGATTATGTCTTAGGTATCAAGACCCTTCATTCACCTTCAACGTCCAAAGAGGCAGTGCCAGACACAGATCCTCCTTGGTTGGTAGCTCTAACTTGATATACTGTGGCATCATCATCCGTTACGTTTGTGATGACCAGCTGGTAATATCCACCCTTGAATTCCTGTATCTTGATCTTTTCACCATCTGGCATGATTTCTTTGCCCTGCCTGTACCACTTGACAATTGGTTTAGGATGACCAGTGACTTTGCAGACGAATGTGGCATTAGCTTGAAATTTCACATTCAGATTCCTTAGTTCTTCCTTGAAATGTGGAGCTTGAATTGGTACATCAGATTTTGGAATGACCGGTTGTGATACCTCACTCCACTCACTTTCACCACCAAGATTTTCACATTTTACACGGAATTCATATTCAAGACCTTCAATAAGATCTTTCACAGAATAGACAGTTTCACGAATTTCATCTGTTGTTACAGAAATCCACTTGTTTTGTTTTTTCTCACGCTTCTCAAGATAGTAAGTTCTAATCTTTGCACCACCATCACTTGCAGGTGGCTTCCATGAGACAACACAAGAATCCTTTGTGACAGCACTTGCTACTGGCTGACCAGGTTGTCCTGGTTTTTCTGTAAAGAATAAAAACATTCAAAAAGTGAAGTGAGTTTGCCTTAGTAATTACAGGGACATACAGGAATTGATATTTTGGCATCCACTTACCAAATGGAGGCTTCATAACAACAACTGATGAAACCTCCAATGCTTCACTAATGCCATATGTATTCTGAGCAGAAACACGGAAATAATAGCCTGCATTTTCAGTTAGGTTAACAATTCTACATGTTGTGCCTGAAATGTTTGAAGATACAAGTTGCCATTCTGCTCCTTCCTTGGCTTCACGTCTCTCTATGACGTAGTTGGTTATCATAGCACCTCCATCATCTTCTGGTGGTTTCCAGCTTATCACCACAGAATTCTTCAGTATAGATTCTATAACAATTGGCCCTACTGGTTTATCTGGCTTATCTGAAAAAGAAAAAGCATGATATTTTTAGTTCTTTTGCTGTTAAATATTTGAAAAAAAAATTCCACAAAAACACTGACAGTAAAATTCATTACCTTGTATTTCCACATTAAGGACGGTGTCAACTGTTCCAAATGTGTTACTGAGTTGCACTTTGTACTTCCCAGCATGAGTCTTGTGCTGAACGTTCTTAATAGCAAGATGAGTATAATGCTCTGTGTTCTCAATAGTAACTGTTTCTGATCCTCTCAAAGGTTTGTTGCCGTGGAACCAAGTTATTGCTGGTACTGGTCGGCCAATGTACATAACGTGGAGGCGGAGGGTGCCGCCTGCACCTGCATAGTATTTCTCTTTCAATGGGAAGCCAGGATGGAACTGAGGAGGGGCCTGCAGTAACAGCTTGCCACTAGTTTCAATTTCTCCGACATCATTGGTAGCCATACAAGTGTAGAGACCTTCATCCTCCTGTTCATCTGTTACTACTGTCAGTGTATGGTTGCGTCCATCAGATGACATTTTGTATTTTCGGCTCTGCACCAGTTCTTTGCCAAAGCGGTACCATTTAATATCAGGCAAAGGTCTCCCAACAATCTGGCATGTCAGCTGGGCTGCTTCACCCAGTTTAGTTGTAACATCCTGCATCTCCTTCCTTATGGCAGGTGCTTCTCCAGCTACAGCAAAGAAAATTAAAAAATAGTGAAGATTACTTTGAAATTTACCTCTATCTCTGTATTACTGGAAATTAATTTTCATTTATACTTGTGCCTCTAACAATTGAAAGACTGTGCTTTAAGACGGTCATATTGGCAAGTAACATGTAAAACAAATAGCATATTAAGTGCTGCTCCATGGTTTATGACACAGCAAATCACAACACTATCACAGCAAATAAGACACTAATTTTGCTTACATGTTAATTTAGTTTTCACTGCCATAGCAGTCCTTCGTGGTCTGCCGAGGCCAGTCTGATTTTCTGCAAAAACACGGAACTCGTATTCTGTAGCCTCTAGTAAACCTCCTACAGTAAACTGCCTGTCCTTGATGCGTTCTTTATTGCATTTTTTCCAGGTGCTTTCTCCAGACTGGCGATATTCAACCCAATAGCCAAGGATCTCTTTGCCACCATCACTTTCAGGTCGTTCCCATTCTAACGTAATGCTGTCTTTAAATATAGAAGTGATCTCAATTTCTCCAGGTTGGCTTGGTTTGTCTGAAAATTAAAATGGATACCGAAAATGAATTCCTCTCTAAATGCCACTAAGTTGCTCTTCAGAAGATCTGTTAATGCAAACATTTTCTTACCAAACGGATCCTTGCATACAACTGGTTCAGAAGCAGGACTTGCTTCGCTTTCACCAATGTCATTTTGAGCAATGATACGGAATTGATATTCAGCATCTGGAACAAGGCCTGTGATTGTGTACATGGTAGTGGTAATCTGCGTCTTATTATGCCGGACCCATTTTTCTGTAGACGTCTCTTTACGTTCGATGTAGTAGCCAGTTACGCGAGAACCACCATCATCTTTAGGTCTGGACCAGGACAAGTTGACAGAACTCTTTGTAACATCAAGCACTTCAGGTGGGTTGTTTGGAGGCTCTGGAGGATCTGTTAATAATTATAGTAACAAAAATAATAGAGGTGTAGCATTAAAGCTCTTGGTATATAACCATTGCACTTTTAGAAACTTAATGGAGTAATTAAACATTATTATTTAAAAAAAAATAAATCTAAAACCAGACTTACTTAGAGGTGTCTTTGGTACTGCTGGTTCTTCAGATTTGAGAGACTTGCTAATACCGAAATGATTTTCAGCAGAAACACGGAAGTGATATTCCACATTTTCTTTGAGCCCTTTAACCACTAGTGATGTCCCTTTCACTCTGGAGTCAACAGTGTACCAGGCAGTCTTTGGTACTTCGCGTCTCTCAACAATATAACCTAGGATATCTGCACCACCATCATCTGTAGGAGGTCTCCAGCTTACTCTGACAGAACGAGCTTGTATATCATCATACTCAAGTGGCCCTTCTGGTGGATTTGGAATGCCAATCACTCTGACTTTAATATACACAGCTTTTTTGCCACACTTGTTTTCAAGTGCCAAGTCATAGGTGCCCGAATCTTCTCTTTCTGCATCTTTGATGACAAGTTCTGTGTGAGTGTCAGAAGTCGCAATCATGGCTCTCTTGCTGATGTCGTGTCCCTCCTTTGTCCATTTGCATATTGGGATGGGCTTACCCTTAATGGGTATTGTAAGCCTGATAACTCCACCTTGTCTCACCATGAGACCTTCCTGGTATTTTTCATCAAGTTCGTAGTCGGGATATTCTGTAAATAAATTAACAGGTCATGCTATGTCTGTTTACAGATGATGTCATACTTGTTTTAGGCAAATACTTTTTTAGGACAGCTTTCAATGAGGGTTAATACTTGAAGTGTCTTACCAAGCATTTCTGTTATTTTGACTGTTCCTGGCACTTCAGCAGGTTCTCCTGGTCCACCAGCATTACAAGCTAGCACGCGGAATCTGTACTCTGCACCCTGGGGGAGATGTGTCAAGGTGTATTCACGAATCTTGGTTGGCGTGGTATTGCATTTGGTCCATTCAAATTGATCAACCTTCTGCATCTCAATTAAGTAGCCAGTAACTTTAGAGCCACCTTCATCTTCTGGTGGACTCCAAGCCAGGGAGACGGATGTTCTTGTAGTATCAGTGACTCTTGGATTCTGAGGTTTACCTGGAGGAGCTGGAAGAGAAGATTAGATGGAAGGTGGGGGTGAGGAAGGAAGTGGTATTTTTTTAATGAATGTTTACAAGATGTAACAAATGCTAACTTGCAACATATGATCGGTATTAAGTCTATAGTATTTATACCAGAAAACTTGAAATGAAAGAATTTCTTTAGTATGTTCTTGGTTTTCTCCAGTCAGAATCCCATTTATTAATACACCCAGATAAATTTCCAAATTAGAAAAAAGAGTAAGTTTTACTAGTATCATTCCCTTCTGCCATAATGTACTTAATCTATGTAGGAAATTACCAATTGGATCTCTAGCAACAGCAGACTTGGAAGGACGGCTGGGCTTCCCTGTGCCTCTGGCATTGATTGCTGTGACTCGGTGTTCATATTCTAATCCTTCAACCAACCCAGTGGAACGGTAACGAGTCATGGTGACTGGAACTTTATTTACACGGATCCATCTATCTGCTCTAACTTCTTTGCGTTCCACAATATAACCAGTAATCTGTGAGTCACCATCATCTTCTGGAGGATACCAAGTTAATGTCATGCCATCACGAGAGATATCAAACACTTCTGGAGTGCCAGGAGGACCAGGAATACCTGTAAAAACAACACATTGCAACATAAATGCAACATCTTGTGAATGAGAATGTAATATCAGTGTCCTATCAAACTCTTTATGAGGTATCTTTACAAACTCAGTCAGTGAAATACTTCTGGTTTTGTAATGTGGTAAAGAAATTTTTAAGGTTAATGGTAGGCCTGAGCAGAAAATCAAAATTTACCACCCAGGCTGTGTGCAATGCATCTATAATACATACACAGATTTATGGATAGCATTTTTTTCTGGAAGTATAACAAGACTACTGTGCCTCATAATGTACCATTTTATTTGGTGAAAGGAAGCACTAACATCTAGAAAAATCCTTATCTATATCAAGCCCATTATATATATATATTTTTATTTTTAGAGGTAGAGAATAAGCAAAAGTTCGGACTCACGGATTCTGCTCTTGCATTCTATAATTTCAGACTGCAGGTAAGATCCAATTCCAAAGCGGTTTGTAGCAGCCACACGGAACACGTATTCTGCACCTTCAACAAGTCTGGTGAATTTGAACATCGTCCTGGTTACTGACTCTGAAACTGGCAGCCATCCAGGACGGTGAGCATCGCGCTGTTCTACCACATAGCCGCTAAGGGTAGCTCCGCCATCCAGCTCAGGAGGCTCCCAGGAAATGGTTACATAATTTGAATCAATTTCATCAATTCGGATAGGTCCAACAGGAGGTCCAGGTTTGTCTAGGAAAAAAAGAGAAAATTAAATGACAAAAAAAAAAGTGGAGAAGAGCAATCATATTGCTGGTGTAACAAAGTTCAGATGGAAAAAGATCATGGACAGTTATTTTCATAAATCCTTACCAAGGATTATAACCTTTATTGTATCAGTAACTGTTCCAGTTGTGTTCTTCAGTTCAAGCGTATACTCCCCAGTGTCCTGTATGGTGGTCTCCCGCACGGTTAATTTAGCCATTTTGGCAACAGTCTCAATTTTGATGCGCTCTGATTCTTTCAGTTTAGAACCAGCAAAGAACCAAGATGCAGCTGGAGGTGGCCGTCCTTCAATCGGAATAGCTAACTCAATGGGCTTGCCAGCTGGTACGTGAATTGTCTTCTGAGGTATTCCAGCAAAGTCAATTGTTGGTAGAACTGAGAAAAGCAAATAATTGATATTTTACATACCCATTTTATAAATAGCATGTTCATTTGGTGTAAGCTTCACCCTGTTATTTTTAACAGTAGATACTTACCTTTTTGGTCTTGTACCGTCACTGCTGTGACAATCTCTCGTGGTTCTGACATGCCCTTCTGATTCTGTGCTCTCACCCTGAACAAGTACTGTTCACCTTCATTGAGAGAGATAATTGTGTGCTCATAGACAGTAGGCTTCAGTGTCACTACCTTCAACCATCTTTCTGTTCCAGCTTTGCTGGCCTCAATAACATAGCCAGTCAGTCTGCTGCCACCATCATGTGGTGGTTTCTCCCATGCAAGGGTGACAGTTGATTTAGTGGTGTCAATCACTTCAAGCTTTTGTGGTACCATGGGAACGTCAGATACTAGTACTGCATCAGATGTTTCACAGGCTTCACCAATGCCGTAAATATTTTCTGGTAGTACTCTGAAATAGTACAAAGCTCCTTCTAGAAGTCCAGTGACTCTATAAAATGTTTTGCTGCATTTGGTAGTGACAGTCTTGTAAGCTCTCATGGAAGCTTCACGTTTCTCAATTATGTAATTGTTGACTGGGGCTCCACCATCAATGGTTGGAATATCCCAAGTAAGTGTCACAGAATCTTTTGATACTTCCTTAATTCTCACTGCAGCTGGTGGACCAGGTGTATCTAAACCAAACAAAAAAAAGAGGTGTTATTTTTTCCTTTTGGGTCCTTTCCTTTTAGAGTCAATGAGTGATTCTGCATAAAAAGCAGCGCTGGGATTTTATTTATAAAATTGCAAAGCTTTAGAAACTTTGTATTTTCCTTTGGATTAGGTTGTTTCTCTGACTTCCCAAATATTCTCATGTTATTTAAACTGCAAACTTCCTTTGGAAATGAATGACTTTCTTAGTCCTGAGCAACGCGCCCTGTGGGTGCTGTAATGCCCGTATACAAATGTAGCAGTACTTACCATACACTTTTACAGAAATAGTTGCGGATTTTTTTCCTGATTGATTTTCAGCCTCAATGACGTATTTTCCAGCGTCATACCGATTAACTTTATCCACAATAAGCAGAGTGTAGCTGTCTGTAGTATCAATAATAGCTCGACTTACAAGGTCAACACCCTGCTTGCTCCATGTGATTATGGGAGCAGGTCTGCCAGATACAGAGACCATTAGGCGCAGGGAACCACCAGCTCTGACTGTAACTGTCTTCTTCAGATCATCAGCAATTTCAAGCTCAGGTATTTCTGATGAAGGGTGTAAGAAACATGGAATTAATTAATGTTTTAGTAGTTCTAAAGAAAAATATAATTATTCCTTAAAATATACATTAAGTCTTCAAATTACCTATTCTTTCCACAGGTTCTATTTGTGCTGATGATTCACTAAATTCACTCATTCCATTTACATTTGTAGCAGCAACTCTGAATTGGTATTTCTGATTTGTTTTAAGACCAGTCACGGTGAACTCTGCATTCCTCAGAGTGGCAGTTGTATGTGGTCGATACCACTGTTCGGTACCTTCTTCTTTCATTTCAAGAACATAGCCCAAGATGTCAGCACCACCGTCATATGTGGGCTTTGACCATGCTAAACTTATGCTGTGCTTAGTAGTATCCACAACTCTTGGAGCTGAAGGTGCTGCAGGGGTATCTATGAAAAAGAAGAAAATGCATTTTACATGGATGCAGGAAACATTTTACAGTTCAAAACGATTTCTAAACATAATACACTTTAAATGAACTATAACTGCTTTTAAGTTTATTTTAGTATTAGCTAGTTCAGTGCTATCATACGTGGTTTCGGGTATCTCAGTCGAAGTGTCAACGTGGGTTTATGCTCCATTGTTGTAAGTAAATATTAAAATATGTTTAATTTTTGGTAACTTACATGATGGCTCTTTACATAACATGTACTGTGAAGCTTCACTGGGCTCACTGTTCCCGGCAGCATTTACTGCAGTGACACGGAACTGGTACTGGCTTCCTTCCATGAGACCAGTAACTTTCAGCCTGGTATCATAAACAGTGTAATCTCTGTTCACACGTGTCCAGCGCAGACTTTTCCTTTCCCGTTTGTCCACAAGATAGTCCTTAATCTCACTGCCACCATCTGATTCTGGTTTTGTCCACTGAATAATGATATGTTCCTTGCCGACACTCACTTCTTCAGGAGCACCAGGCTGTGTTGGGATGGCTGGGTTTTTTCAAGGTGAAAAAAAAGAAAAAAATTAAGAAATAGTTTGTTTATGAGAAATATTTCACAAATTCTGATGGAGCATGGAAGGTAGTAACACTCACTGAAAGCATTCCTGGCAATCATAGGTTCCGTCTCAAGTGGAACACCTGGTCCATATTTGTTGACAGCTCTCACACGGAAGATATATTCATTATTTTTTATAAGTTTGGTTACCACACATGATAAAGTCTGGCATTCAGCCTCAACAATAACCCAGTGAAGTCTGCTGGTTTCACGCCTTTCTATGATATAGTGAGTGATCTGGGCACCTCCATCTTCCTCAGGCATGTTCCATGCCAGAGTACATTTCTCTTCTGTTACTCTGCTAACAGTGATTTTGCCTGCACATGGACCTGGTGAATCTGAGTAGAGATGAAAATAAGTATTGTTATTAGCAGCTAAGGAAAAGCTTCTCAAACTTGTTTAAAAGAATTTGGGTTTTTTAGTATACTAAGTATGAATATTAATCATGGGATACATACCAAGCACTTTGACAAGAACAGAAATTTGTTTCATCCCACTGGCATTTTTAACAGTTAGAGTATATTTTCCACTATCACTTCTGTCACAGAACTTGATAATTGCAATGGCTCGTTTGCTGGTGTATTGCAGAGATATCTTTTCACACAGATCCAATTCCCTGTCACCTTTAGACCAGGAGACTTTTGGTTCTGGTTTCCCACCAACGGCTGCATCAAGAACAAGATCTGATCCAGCCCTAATGGTCACAACTTCTCCCTGCAGTCTGGCATCAAGTTCAGCCTTTGGTGGTGCTGTCATAAGGAAAAAGAGATTTTTAAAAAAATTACATGACTGTACTAAAATTAGAACATTAAGTTTTTAACTGTTACAAGTGATTATTTCTTACAGTATTCATCTTTGCAAATGACAGCACCAGTCGATTCAGATCCTTTGCTAATCACACCGGCAGCATTCTTTGCTAGTACACGGAATTCGTATGCTTCATCTTCACTAAGAGCTGTCACCGTAAAAAAGTTTTCTGAGACAATGGTGTAATTGCATTTCAGCCAGCGTCCATCACCAGATTCGCTGTATGGTTTACGTTCTATAATATAGCCAATAATTTTGCTTCCACCATCATAAAGGGGTGCTGACCAGCTCAGCGACACTGTAGATCTGGTGACATCTGTTACTTCTGGTCTTCCTGGTGGATCTGGAGAAATAAAACAGAAAAATGAGAAATGCAATTCTATTTTAGCTTAAATAACAACATAACTCTAAAGGTAATACATACCAACTGGATTTTGAGCCACGACAGGTCTGGAAGCTTCACTAGCTTTGCTAACACCTGCAGCATTTAGAGCATAGGTTCTGAATTGATATTCTAGGCCTTCCACCAATCCTGTGACTTTGTAGTTGCATTCACAGCATGGCACTTTGTTCTCCTTCACCCAAAGGATGGTGTTGCGCTCCTTCTTTTCAACCCAATATCCAATGACTTTGCTGCCACCATCATGATATGGTTCCTCCCAACGAATTGCCATGGCGGTTGCAGACACAGAATAGACTTCTGGCCTTGAAGGTGGGCTGGGTGGGACTACACACAAAAAAAGCGGAGAGGAAAATGTTAGTTATTACAAATACCTCCGACAGAGGAAAAGAACAAATTTTGAAAAGTGTTTCACTTACCGAATGGATGCTCAGCAACCACTGTTTTTGATTCAAGGGGTTTGCTGACACCAAATCTGTTTTCTGAGCTTACTCGGAAACTGTACTCCTGGTATTTTGTGAGACGAGTGACTTTGATCTGTGTACGTTTCACACTGGAATTTACCAGCTGCCATGCTGTTGTGCCAGATTCACGTTTCTCTACAATGTAGTTTGTAATGTCACTGCCACCGTCATCTTCAGGTTCTTTCCAGGTCAATACACAGGATTCAGCAGAGACAGATGATATTTCAATTGGGCCAGTGACAGGACCTGGCCTTCCTATGACTACTACTGTGACAGTAAATGTTTTCACACCAGCAGTGTTTTCAAGTGTGAGGTAGTATTTGCCAGAGTCACCTCTCATACTGTCCTTTACAGTCAGTGTGGTTCTCTCTTTTGTTGTCTTGATGGTCACTCTCTCAGTTTCCTTCAGCCTCATCTCTTCCAGTTTCCATGTCACTTTTGGAGCTGGGCGCCCACTGATTGGTACGTCAATAGTAAAGGTGCTTCCAGCCTTGCATGTTATGAGCTGTCTGCTTATTTCACTGAGATCTGCTGTTGGTTCAATCTGTGGCTCCTTAATAATAACAGAAGAGAAAGCTTCTCTTGGCTCACTGTAGCCAGCATCATTCTTTGCCTTGACCCGGAACTCATACTCAGTGTTCTCCACAAGGCCTTCAACAGTGAAAGTAAGTTGTTTGGTTTGTCCAGCTTCAATCCAGGAGTCAGATCCTTTTTGTTTCATTTCAAGAAGGTATCCAGTAACACGGCTACCACCATCATGATCAGGTTTAAGCCAAGCTAAAACTACAGAAGATTTGGTTGTATCAACAATATCTAGTCTCTTAGGTGGAGCAGGTTCTTCTGTGGCTACAACCGGTTCTGTTAATTCACAGGGTTCACCTACACCATATTCATTTTCTGCTGACACTCGGTAGTAATATGGCACACCTTCTGCCAGATCAGTGACCTTAAAGATTTGTCGAGTGCATTTTGAACTCACCACTTGCCAGCTACGACGGCTTGCTTCCCGTTTTTCCACAACGTAGTGATGGATACGAGAACCTCCATCCAGAACAGGAGCATCCCACATTAAAGTAATAGATCCTCTAGTCACGTCTTTAAATGTAATAGGACCTGGTGGACCAGGTGTGTCTAAAACCTTGACAGTAAATGTGATAGACTTACTTCCACTGTTGTTTTCCACAGTAAAGACATACTTGCCAGAATCGTTTCTGTTGCATTCCTCCACAGTCAATGTGCTAAATGAATCAGTTGTTTGAATGTCAGCACGCAAGCTAAGATTAGCATCTGCTTTGGACCACGCAGCGGTAGGAGCAGGTCTTCCAGAGAAGGCAATAAATAGACGAATGCTTGCACCTGCTCTTACAATATGAGTCTGCTTGAAGTTTGCATCGATATCAATGTCAGGTGCAGAAAGCCTGTCCACAGTTTGGACTGAAGCAGGAACTTCACAACTTTCTCCTTTGCCAGCACCATTGACAGCACTAACTCTGAATTTATAGTGTTCTCCTGCCTCCAGATCAACAACGGTATATTTAGTAGCAAGAACAGTCTCTGCATTGACTTTCTGCCATGCTTCGAGATCAGCTTTGCACATCTCAATGATGTAGCCAATTATTTCCATACCGCCATCAAAAACCGGCTTGGTCCACTCTAAGCTTACACTAGTCTTTGATGTATCTGTCACCTTTACAACGTTAGGAGCACTTGGTGGGCTGACTGGTTCTCTACATTTAATCAGCCTTGAAACATCACTTGGAGGTCCAACTCCTGCAGCGTTTTCAGCCATGACATGGAATTCATACTCGTTGCCTTCAATAAGGCCAGTTACTCTGTATCTGTTCTCAGTAATGGGTCTCTTACTGGATACTTTAACCCAGCGCATGCTCTTCTTTTCTCTCCTTTCTAGAATATACTCATTTATCTCGCTTCCACCATCTGATTGTGGTCTTGCCCATGTCAGTGTGATACTGTCTCCTGTTACATTGGTAGGCTCTGGAGTACCTGGTGCATCAGGGAGAGCTAAAAAAAGGAAAACGTAATTAGAAACACAAGATGGTAACTCCACAGTTATTTCTACAGAATGAGGTGGAAACTTACTGTAAGGTATTTGTGCAGTAACTGGATCAGACTCCAATGGTCTGCCAACTCCAAATTTGTTCACTGCAGACACACGGAACTGGTACTCGTTGCCCTTAATTAATTTAAGTGCAGTGTAGCTGCAAGCTTCACATTTATCTTCAACTAATGCCCAAGCAATCCTGCTGGTTTCACGTTTTTCAATTATGTAGTGGGAAATAGAAGCACAACCATCATTAGCTGGAGGCTCCCACCATAATGTGACTTTTTCTCCAGTAACGTTCGTGAATCGTATCGGTCCACCAACTTTTCCTGGTGTGTCTGCAATTGTAAAGGTTCAGAATTATAATTTGCCGGCACTTAGGATCAGATAATGTTTCAAAACAAAAACACGCTGAAAGTGTTTGGTGCAGTACCTTGTACTCTGAAGGTAATATCTTCTCGTTTAGTGCCAGATGCATTTTTGGCTTCTACTGTGTACACTCCACGATGATCCCGGGTAGCATCTCTAATGAAGATTGTACTGTATCCAATAGCGGTAGTTATTTCTATATTCATTATTTTCTCAATCTCTTTACCATCCTTAAACCATGTCACTTTAGGTACTGGACGTCCTTTGATTAGAGCTTTAAGTTTGATGGTCTCTCCAGCTTTAACAGTAAGGCCTTCAAAGTGCTCAGGGCCAAATTCAATTGTTGGAGCAACTAAAAAGGAAAAGATAATTTAATTTACGTATAGCTAAGTATTTTTTTCCTGATACTCTTTTTAATGTACTAATTATAGAAGATTGTTATATGTGGAATTTTTCAACTTAGAAAATGGCATTTTCTAAAAATAAGTAAGTTATTATTTGTACTATAAACTTATTTTTCTTGTAGGCACACAGTGCATCATATTAATGATAGGTGAAGTACGCCATTAATATATGCTGTGTACATTATGCCAAGCCACCTGAGGCACATTTTAATTTCTGAATTATTCAGTGCGTCAGAATATTACAGTTTATAATTCCTTTCCAACTTTGCTGCTGCTGTTTATCCAGCACAAATGTAGAGAGCCATGCCGTTCAGCAATTGATTACGTATGTCTGCCAGATTTGGGTCTTTAACTTAGACCCTCCCACCTTCGAGTACAAACGGAAAGGTTCTGAGTCGACTGGAAGGACCTCAACCACACATTCTTCCCTGCTTGCCCTCTCATTTCCAATCACTACAGCCAGAAGCTCTAACTGGTTTCAGTACCCAAATACAAGGATATTAAGAAATAATGCTTACTGTTTTCATCTCGGGTCATGATATATCCTGAAGACTGTGAAGGCGGGCTGATTGTACCAACAGCATTTCTTGCAAGCACTCTGAATTCATATCGGTCACCTGAACTGAGTCCTGTAACTGTATATTGGCATTCACTGACATCAGTAAAATTACATCTGAGCCAACGGTCTTCGCTTCCTTGCCGTTTCTCAATGCTGTAGGCCACAATCTTACTGCCTCCGTCACGCAGTGGGGGTGTCCATTTAAGGGTGACTGTTTCTCTCGTGACATCGATGTAATCAGGAGTACCAGGTGGGTCTGTAAGAAAAATAATTAATGATTATTTTTATTACTGCTCACTATAATCTACAAGACTAGAATTTCCTTGGATGAGTGATTGACTGTTCACTCACCCACTGGAGAGACTGCCAGAGTAAACTTGCTTGGCTCGCTAGCTCGGCTTAGACCTGCAGTATTTTCAGCATATACTTGGAACTGGTAATCCAGGCCCTCTAGCAGTCCAGTAATCCTGTATTCTCTGCTAGATATTAATGCAACATTGACCTTCTGCCACAAAATACTGTTTCGTTCCTTCTTTTCAACGTGGTATCCAGTAATCTCTGAACCACCATCATAAACGGGAGCGTCCCAAGATATGGTCATTCCATCAGCAGTTATGTTGTATACAACAGGCTTGCCTGGGGCACCCGGTGGTCTAAACTGATGCTTTGCCACAACATCTGCTGACACAAGAGGTGGGCTCACTCCGTATCTGTTTTCTGCACGAACTCTAAACTGATACTCTGTGTCTTTAACAAGGTTTGGTACTTTGAAAGTTGTTCTTGCAGCACTCGAACACACCAGCTTCCAGTTCATTTGTGAAGTTTCTCTCTTCTCAATACTGTAGCCAGTGATTTCTCCTCCCCCATCATCTTCGGGAGCTTCCCAGGACAAAACTACACTATCTGCTTTGATTTCATCTAGTTTTAAAGGTCCTTTTGGCTTAGATGGAGGGCCAAGAGTGATGACAGTGATTGTGAATGATTTTCTGCAGACTACATTATCAAGAATTAAAGTATATTTGCCACCATGATCCTTTTTCACATTCTTGATGCTTAAGCTTATCTTGTTTTCAGTTTTCTTGAAACGAAGGTGTTCAGTTTCTTTAAGAGGAAGGTTGTCCTTGAGCCAGCTCATTGATGGCTTAGGTTTACCTTTATAAGGCAATTCAATGTGCAGATTATGTCCAATTCTTACTGCAATTTGTCCTCCAGGAATATCAGAAAGGTCAGCTTCAGGTGTTATTATAAGTTCTTTTACTGTAATGGGTCCAACAGTAACACCATCACTCATGCCTTTTTCATTTTTAGCAAAGACTCTGAATTCCATGACAGAAAGCTCTTTAAGTTTTTCAACTTCAAATTCACAGCTCTTGCTTGTGCCTGCATATGTCCATTCTTTTTCTTCCTGCAGTTTCTTTTCAATAACATAGTCCGATATAATACTACCACCATCATAGTCAGGTTTGCTCCACTGCAATTTAACAGAAGTCTTTGTAGAATCTTTCATGGCTAGGTCTTTTACAGGTCCAGGTATGTCTGCAGCTTTCACTGGTTCAGATGTCTCACAAGGTTCACCCAGCCCAATTTCATTTTCAGCAAGAACACGGAAGAAGAATGCAGTCTTCTCTGATAGGTTAGTTAGCTTAAAGGTGGTATGAGAACACTTTGTTGTTACCGTTGACCAGGCCCTCTTCGTAGCATCTCTTTTTTCAACAACATAATTTGTTATTTCCGAACCACCATTAATGAGAGGTGGCTCCCACACCAGTGTAACTGTGCCACGAGAGACATGCTTAAGCTGCAGCTTCTGGCAGGCAGATGGTGTGTCAAGTACTTTTACATTCACAAATGATGATTTTGCTTCTCCAACTCCATTTTCAATTGTAAGAACATATTTTCCTGTATCATTCCGGGTAACTTGAGGAATAGTAAGTAGTGTAGATGACTCTGTGTTCTGGATGATATATCTTTCATCAATCCCAAGATTCTTGTCACCCTTTCTCCATGTGACTGTTGGAGGAGGTCTTCCTTTGAATGGAATCATTATTTGTACATCTTCACCTGCTTTAGCAATAACAGAGGTCCGTAGAGCAACATCCAGATCAATCTCTGGTGCCACTGTGGAAGTAATAAAAAATTAATAGTGCATATTTGGAATGAAAGAAGAAATGTTTTGAAAAAAAGAAAAACTTAAACATAGAAAAAATATAAATTAATGAAAAGTATAGTACCAAGAATGTCTTTAGCTTGAACGGGTTCCGTCATTTCAATAGGCTCTCCTTGTCCAGCGCAATTTATAGCAGACACGCGGAAATAATAATTAACACTTGGCTGAAGGTGGGATACAACATACTCAGTTGTTCTCACTTCTCCTTTAGTGCTGACTACAGTCCATTTCTGCTCTTCACCTTCTCTTTTCTCCACCACGTAGTTGGTAATTGGACTTCCTCCATCATAGGCAGGTTTAATCCAGCCAAGGGTGACAGATGTCTTGGTTGTATCCACAACCTTCAGCTTTGTTGGTGTGCCTGGCTTATCTGTAAGTGACAGATTATGGGGGAGGGGGAGTCAGAAGCTGTACTACATTTAATCATAAAGAGAAATAAAATCGGTCCTCAGTTACATTTGTGCAATCCCATCCTAATTGCTCATTGTCCATTGATTTCTAACCAATTAGAAATACTGCACGTTATAGCTTACCAACAGGATCTGCAGCTTTGTAGAAGTCAGAAGCTTCAGAGAACGGACCTTGTCCAGCTGCGTTAACAGCACAAACTCGGAAATTATATTCACTGTTTTCAGTCAGACCTGTTACTTTCTGTCTGGTGTCCCGAATGGTTTCTTTAGTAACCTTGAACCAGCTTAGACTCTTCTTGTCACGCTTCTCAAGAAAATATCCTGATATTTCACTGCCTCCATCAACAGTGGGCCTATTCCAGACAACGGTCATAGAATTCTTGGTTATCATTGTGACTTCTGGTACACTAGGTGGTCCAGGTGTAACTGGTTAAAAAGAATATATACCAGTAGGTCAGTACTACTTACAAAGAATACACAAGATGATTTAGTTGCATAAGTTATGTGTTTCTTTCTTACCAAATGAATTTTTGGCTATAACAGGTTCAGACTCCAGTGAATCACCAACTCCAAACTTGTTAACACCACGTACACGGAACACATATTCATTTCCTTTTATGAGTTTTGTTGTAGTTATGATACACCCCTCCAATTTTTCAGAAATTAAAGACCATACAACCCGACTCGTCTCCCGCTTTTCAACAACATAGTGTGTTACTGGTGCACCACCATCATCTGCTGGTGGGTCCCATGTTATTGTAATCTTTTCAGCAGTGACTGTCTTAAACTGTATAGGTCCACCTGGGGGTCCTGGCTTGTCTGTGGAAGGCAGAAGAAAGATGATGTTAAGTATTTATACTATTAAACAATAATAAGTAATAATACAACTGTATCTCATGACATACCAAGTATCTGTACTCTAACATGGGCTGATGCTGAACCCATGGCATTCTTCAGTTTTAATTCATAGGTGCCACTGTTGAGTCGAGTTGCATCCTTGAGAAGTATAGAAGCAAATTCTGTTGTGTTTTCAATAGACACTAGTGCACTGCTTTGTACTTCGTTGCCATTTTTGAACCATTCAATTGTGGGTGTAGGCTTGCCCGAGATGCCTAGTTTTAGCTTAACTGAAGTTCCTGCTTTATATTTCACCACTTCTGTATATTCTGGTGGCACATCAATTTCAGGTGCACCTTAAGAAAAAATAAGAATAAGAAATAGTTGAAAACATACTTATTTTAGACTTGTATTTAATAAAACCAAAAATAACAGTACTTTATTTAAGCTAATAGTTACAGGCATTTTATAAATCCAGATTCAAGTAAAGATAGCATGTATAACTTAAATCTTAAACCTAGAACAGGTTAGAACTGATTCTACCAAGAAAAGGCAACCACATGGATGATTATAACTACTTTGGCCATGGGGTGTGGGCAGATTTCTGTTGTTTAAAGAATAAAGATACAATAAAACTTCAAAAATGCAGAGACAGCCAAAGATGCTCATTACAATCATGCTCAAATAGCTTGCAGCCATTCAAGCTTATTTGATCGTTTGCTAGCCTTCCATATTTAAAAGCCTATGGTTCTACAAAACAGCACTGCCTTTAAGTCTCCTAGTACCACAAAATGATACCTTTATATCCTTGGAAAACACTTACCGTAGGTATCAACGCATGTGATGGGACCCACAACATCGGAGGGATTACTAATGGAGCCAACGGCATTCTTAGCAAAGACCCGGAATTCATACCGGGAATTCTGGGTCAGACCAGACACGGTGAACTGAGTCTCAATAACATTGGTGAAGCTAGCTTTTGTCCATCTGCCGTCTGGAAGATCACGTTTTTCTACAATGTATCCAGTGATCTTGCTGCCACCATCAAACGCTGGCTTCTGCCATGACAGACTGATAGCAGTCTTGGAAATGTCTGAGACACGAACGTTTCTTGGGGGTTCTGCAGTAGTAAATATAAGAGTATTATTAATGAATAACACCAGTTTTGGATATTGAATTACTGTATGGGACAAATAAAAAAGGAAAGTAAAAAAGAACTACTTGAATGGTTGGGTGGCTTTATTTCCTAGGGAATACATACCACAAGCATCAATTGCAAGGACTGGATCAGAAGGATGGCTTGCTTTTCCAATGCCAGCTGCGTTTTCTGCATAAACTCTAAATTCATAGATAAGGCCAGCACTGATGGTGGTGACTTTGAAGTGTGTTGTGCGGATGAGGGTCTTGTTAGCCTTCTGCCATAATATGCTATTCCTGTCTTTCATTTCCAGGTGGTATCCCATGACTGCACTGCCGCCATTAGTGACTGGTTCATGCCATCCAACAGTAATACTCTCTCGGGTGACATTCGTGACCCATGGTGTGGAAGGAGGGCCAGGGGTAGCTGATGATATCAAAAGAAGTGATTAATTGTTAACAAAACTACATTTTCAACATGAGAGCATTAAAGCATAAAACTGTGCTGTGAGAAGAACATTACTCACTGTAAGGAAGCTTGACAACCACACACTGTGAGTCTATGTGATCACTGATGCCGAAGCGGTTCTCAGCTTTGATGCGGAATTGGTATTCTTCTCCTGTTGTGAGCTTCATAACTTTGATAACAGTTCTAGCAATGGTTGCAGACACTTCAGACCAAGCAGCAGTACTGGTTTCTCTCTTCAGTACAATATAGTTGGTAACTTGACTCCCACCATCATAAGCTGGTGGCTGCCATCTGAGTGTTACACTCTCTTCAGTGATATCGCTGAGGACAACAGGACCAACAGGAGGACCTGGTCTATCCAGCACAACAATATTAATAAATGATTTTGTGGTGCCACTTGAGTTGGCAGCAGTAATATCATATCTGCCAGCATCAGCAGCCACACTTTCTTTAAGGTTAATGATGAGACTTTCTGCAGTGGTTTCTGTGTGAAATCTCATGGTAGGTTTCAGTGGAACACCATCTCTAGACAATGTCACCTTTGGCACTGGTTTTCCAGAAACTGGAATTTCAACTTTCAGGTTTGATCCTGCTCGAATATACACAGTGTTATGAGGGAAGCCTTTCATGTCAATTTCAGGAGATTCTGAAAAAGAAAACAATTTCAATCCATTAAAAAATATTCTCTCTTTTTAAATATGAATCCAATGTAACGTGTATCAACTCTTGTCTCACATCAGGAAGCATACCTAATTGTTCTTTAACTGTAACAGGCAGCAGTAGTTCCTTAGGATCACTTAAACCAGCTTGGTTTTCTGCAGACACCCTGAAGAAATAGTCAACATTCTCCTTAAGGCCGTGGATGACATGATGAGTTGTCTTTACAACAGCGCACTTAACCCATTTTTGCTGTCCTTTCTCAAGAGCTTCAATGAGGTAGCTCACAATTCTGCTTCCACCATCATGTTCTGGTTTTAGCCATGAAAGAGAAACACTGTCCTTTGTGACATTTGTTACTCCAAGTTTTTCTGGTGGGCTGGGTTTTTCTGAGAAAAAAAACCACAACAGATTAAGAAACATAGCAAGAATTTATATTAGCAATTACAGAGGAATGCCATGTAGATTGAGAAAATGTGTTTTTAAATGAATTTGTGTGTTAGAAACATTTTAAGTAAAATGCAAGCAAAATATAAAATTCAAGCTATTACTTACTTCTTTTTCATTTGTAAAACCACAGACATACCTACCACAAAATTATCTTTTTTACTGTAAACAGATTTAACACTTTGGATATTCTTTTGGAGTAAACATTTTAAAAGACATATTGTTTTAAATATTAACAATATTTTTCTTCATAAAACGCACCTGTTATTTTTGTTCCCTCCTTGGTCTCGGAAGGCACTCCAACACCATACTCATTTTCTCCAGAAACACGGAAGTAGTAAATGGCACCTTCTTGCAAGCCAGTCACTTTGTAGGACAGACGATGACAACTGTTTGTCACAGTGACCCATGCTTTTTTGCTAGCTTCTCGTTTTTCAATAACATAATTCTTTACAGGTGCTCCACCGTCGTTTTCAGGAACATCCCAAGATAGCACAGCAGATTCTTTAGTTATGTCTTTTGCTGAAATATTAGATGGTGGGCCAGGAGTATCAAGAACTTTGACGATTAAAGTCAAGGTAGCAGTGTTCAGGCTGTTTTGCAATGTTAATGTGTATTTTCCAGAATCGTTTCTTGTTGCTTTTTCAATAGTAAGAGATGTGCAATTATCGGAAGTATCAATGCTTGCTCTTGTACGGAGATCAGTGTCTGACTTGTTCCACGTTACATTTGGGACTGGTTTGCCTCTGAAAGGAACAGTCATTGTGAATGATCCACCAGCCTTAACAATTAATGTCTTCCGCATTTCACTGTCAATATCAAAGGCAGGTTCTTCTTCTCTTTCTTTTGCCATCTGAGGTTCTGAGGTATCACTTGGTTCACTGACACCGATTTTGTTAATCGATTTCACTCTGAAGATGTACTCAGAGCCTGATACTAATCCAGTTATAGTGTATTCTGTGCCTCTTAAATTCTGAACAGCAGTTGTCCAGTCAGTTTCATCAGTTTTCTTGTATTCAACTGTGTACCCTGTTACTGGAGCACCTCCATCAAACAGTGGCTTTGTCCACCCAATTGTGATATTTGACCTCGTAGAATCCATAATCTTAGGTTTAGATGGGGGAGATGGCAGGAACATTGGGTCTTCTGCTCGAATCAATGGTGTGGTTTCACTTGGAAGACTGAGGCCAGCAGCATTTTCTGCGTAAACCCGGAATTCATATTCACATCCTTCACGGAGACCAGGTGATTTCACTCTTAAATCATAAACTGGCTTTTTGTTTACACGAATCCATCTTAGGCTGGTTTTCTCACGTCTTTCAATTACATAGCCAGATATCTCACTGCCTCCATCAGACTCAGGTCTTGCCCAGCACAGAGTTATTGAATCTTTGCTCACACTGGTGATCTCTAAAGATGTAGGTGGACTTGGAACTGTAAATGGGTCTAAGGCTTTGACAGCAACACTTTCTAGAGGCTCACCAACACCATATTTATTAACTCCCATCACTCTGAAAATATACTCATTACCCTTCAGTAGTTTTGTCACTTTACAGGATGTTGTTCTAAGCTCTCCTTCACAAAGTGTCCATGCAATTCTGCTGGTCTCACGTTTTTCTACAATGTAATAATCAATATCTGCACCGCCATTTTCTTGAGGAGGTCCCCATGATAAATGGCACTTTTCAGCAGTAAGGCCATTTATTTCTAATGGCCCTGCAGGTGGGCCAGGTCTATCGAGCACTTTGCAATTAATTGCCAAAGTTTTTGTTCCTGCAACATTTTGTAATGTTAGTACATACTGTCCTGAATCACCTCGGATGCAGTCCTTGACAGTTATTGCAGTAGTATGATCTGTTGAGGCTATTTCAACTCTAGCTTTTCCTTCAAGCTCCTTGCCATCCTTTGTCCATGAAATCACCGGTATTGGCCGTCCTGCAATATCTGCATTGACTTTAAACACTTCTCCAGCTTTCACAACTACAACATCCCTGAATTTAGCATCCATCATAATTCTTGGAGCCTCTATATCATCTTTTACAGTCACAGGACCAGTTGATTCAGATGGCTGACTGAAGAGTCCAGCAGCGTTCTTTGCAATCACACGGAATTCATATCGCTGGTCTTCGGTAAGCCCACCAACATCAAAGTAAGTTTCTTGCACATTAGTAAAATTACACTTTAGCCAACGACCATCTGGTATCTCTCTGCGTTCGATAATATATCCTGTTACTTTAGCTCCACCATCATATTCTGGTTTAGTCCATTTCAGTGAGACACAGGTTCTTGTAATATTAGTAACTTCTGGTTGACCTGGAGGATCACATGGATCTCTTGCAGCAACTGGTTCACACGATTTACTGCATTTGCCTATTCCAGCAATGTTTTCAGCATATACACGATATTCGTACAGCAGTCCTTCATCAAGACCTGTAACTTTCATTTGTGTATCAGGTATAAGGCTCTTGTTGACTTTTGTCCAAAGAATGCTGCTTCTTTCTTTACGCTCCAAATGATATCCTAGTACTCTGCTACCTCCATCATTAACTGGTACCTGCCAAGTTACAATCATGAAAGCTTTAGTTGCATGTACCACATGAGGAGTTCCAGGTGGTCCTGGAGGCTTAAATGGATATTCTGCCAGAACAGAAGGAGAATTAGTGTAAGTGCTTTTCCCATAGCGGTTTTCTGCACAAATACGGAACTGATATTCAGAGCCGGTGGTGAGTCGAGATACTTTAATTGATGTTCTTGCAACTGCTGCGGATACCACATCCCATGTTGTTGTGGTAGTTTCTCGCTTCTCCACAATGTAATTGCTAATATGGCACCCACCATCATATACTGGAGGTTTCCAAGACAGAGTGATACTATCAGCACTAACTTCATCAATATGCACATCAGTTGGTGGACCTGGTCTGTCAAGGACAACTACATTTAAAGAAGCTGTTGTTGATCCGGCAGTATTTGAAAGATGTAATTCATAATGTCCCAAATCTTCATTTGAAGCTTCCTTGATGGACAGAGTAGTTGAAGTCTTTGATGTCTGAACATTTACCCTGGTTGTCTCTTTCAAGGGATTCCCATCCTTCTTCCAGCTAACGGTTGGAAGAGGTCGTCCTCTGAATGGCACATCAATCTTAAGATCATCTCCAGCTTTCACAGTGAATGTGTTGAAAAGGAGCTCAGCAGATGGCAGGATTTCAATGTCTTTTGCAATGACTGGGACACCAAGTTCTCTTGGATCACTTTTTCCTTTTTCATTAACAGCAATCACTCTGAGACTGTACTCTTCTCCCATACTTAAGCCTGTTATTGTTGCTTCTAATGTTTTCACCTGTGCACATGCACTCCATTTCATACTTCCTTTAGTTTGCATTTCTACTGTATAACCAGTAATTTTACTGCCACCATCGCTCTCTGGCTTTTCCCATTTAACTGAAGCAGAGTTGCGAGTCACATCAACAAGAATGACCTTTGCAGGTGGAGAAGGTGGTTCAGAAGCCTTAATTGGGTCAGGTGTTTCTGCTGGTAGGCCAACTCCATATTCATTTACAGCTAGAACACGGAAGTAATAACTACATCCTTCTTGTAGTTGAGTAACTTTGAAGGAATTCTTAGTGCAGTTGCTTGTAACTGTGGCATATGCCTTTCTTGTGGATTCTCGCTTTTCTACTACATAGTTGGTAATTTTAGCTCCACCATCAATAAGTGGTGCTTCCCAGGCTATTGTTACAAAATCTTTCTTCACTTCTCTGATTGTCAGGTTTATAGGTGCACTAGGTGTATCAAGCACTCTGACATTAACAAAAGCCGATTTTTTGCCACTGTTGTTCTCTAAAGTAAGATTGTATCTACCACTGTCAAACCTATTCACATTGTCAATTACCAGCATTGTATAGGAACCGGTGACTTCAATCTGAGCTCGCTCACTAATTGTTCCTTCTGCTTTCTCCCATTTAACTTCAGGTTCTGGTCTTCCTTTGATGGTGACAAACAGGCGTAATGTACCACTAGCACGTACAGTGACTACTTTCCTGAGGTCTGCATCAAGTTCAATTTCAGGAGGTTCAATCTTGTCAGCTGCTATGACTGTACCAGGTATAGTAGCAGGTTCTCCTACTCCTTCTGAATTGATGGCACAAATGCGGAAGTTATACTCCTGGTTCTCTTTAAGTTTTGTTACGGTGAACTGTTTTGCCTGTAGGCCTGTTGGTGGGGTGCAGGTAGTCCATTCATCATCAGCAGCTTCTTTTACTTCTACTACATATCCCTTAACTGGAGCACCACCATCATAAATGGGCTTACTCCAGGCAAGGGAAACTGATGACCTGGAAGTGTCTGTAACCTTTGGATTACTTGGTGGACCTGGTGGATATAATACATCACAAGCACGATAGAAAATGGATGGTTCACTGGGTTCCCCTACCCCTGCAGCATTTTCAGCAGAAACTCTAAATTCATAGAAATGTCCATCGGTAAGACCTGTTACTCTGAATCGCAAGTCTGTCAGTCTTTTCTTATTGCATTTGGTCCACCGGATACCATCTTTGTCTCGTTTTTCCAGTATGTAACCTTCAATTTCAGCTCCCCCATTGTCTTCTGGGCGACCCCATGTTACCACCATAGAATCTTTTGTGATTGCTGAAACTTCAGGTGTTGAAGGAGGACCAGGGGGTTTGTATGGATTACGAGCCACAATTGGCTCGGATTCCAAGGGTTCTCCAGTTCCATATTTGTTCACAGCCATTACCCGGAAAATGTACTCATTGCCAGCAAGGAGTCTGGTTACTTTGTGGTTAAGAGCCTGCACTTCTGATGCTACTTGTGTCCATGAAAGCCTACTTGTCTCTCTCTTCTCAATGATATAATGTGAGATACTAGAGCCACCATCATGTAAAGGCGGAGCCCATGCCAAGTAGCATTTTTCTGCAGTGACACCTGTAACCATCAAAGGTCCTTCTGGAGGTCCTGGCCTGTCAAGGACTTTTACAGTGATTGGTATAGATTTTGTGCCACCAACATTTCTGAGGTTAAGAGTATAGTGACCTCCATCTACTCTTATACAGTCTTTGACAGTAAGAGTTGTTTTCTGAATGGTAGATTTAATTTCCATTCTTGCAGTTGCTTCTTCCAGGTCTTTGCCATCTTTTGACCATGTAATGTCAGGAATAGGTTTGCCGTGGATGTCAGCTTCAAGAACAAAAGTTTCTCCAGCATGAACAACAATGACATCTTTGTATTTAGGATCCAATGAAGCTCCTGGTGCTTCAATTTCATCTCTGGCAGTAATGGGCCCGGTACTTTCAGATGGTTCACTGAAGCAACCTGCTGCATTTCTTGCAATTACTCTGAATTCATATCGTTGGTCTTCAACAAGACCACTTACTGTGAATTCTGTTTCCAACACATTTGTAAAGCTGGCTTTCATCCAGCGACCATCTGGTAGTTCTTTCTTTTCTACAATATATCCAGTTATTTTGCTTCCACCATCATATTCTGGTTTTTTCCACTTCAGTGTGATATTATTTCTTGTAACAACAATGGCCTCTGGGCGGCCAGGTGGGTCACAGGGATCTCGGGCAACATACAGTTCTGATACTTTGCTGACTTTGCCAACACCAACAATGTTTTCAGCAGAAACTCTGAATTCATATTCAAGACCTTCTTCAAGGCCATCTGTTTTGTATTTGGTGTCTGCAATGAGTGACTTGTTCTGTTTTGTCCAAAGAATGCTGTTCTTATCTTTACGTTCAAGATGGTAGCCAAGAACTTTGCTTCCTCCATCATTAACTGGTTCATGCCATTCTACAATCATATGGTCCTTAGAAGCTGCTGTTACAAATGGGGTTCCGGGTGGTCCAGGCACCTTATAGGGGTATTGCACAACAACTGGTTTAGAATCCAAGGGAGAGCTCTTCCCATACCTATTTTCAGCAGAAATCCTGAACTGGTATTCAGAACCTGTTTTAAGCTTTGTTGCCTTGATAGTTGTTCTTGCAACAGTTGCTGACACAATGCTCCATGTGGTAGTGCTTGTGTCACGCTTTTCTACTATATAGTTGCTTATCTGACAGCCACCAGTATAATCAGGTGGATCCCATGACAAAACAACGAAGTCTGCGCTAACCTCGTCAAAGCGGACGGGTCCTCGTGGTGGGCCAGGCTTTTCCAGTACAATTATGCTCAGGTGCTCTGTTGCCGTACCTGCTGTGTTTGTTGCTGTTACTGTATATTTACCAAAGTCTTCCTTGTTGCTTTCTTTAATATGTAAGATAGTTGATGTCGATGAATCCTGAATATGTAATCTGGTTGTCTGTTTTAGTGGCTGCTCATCTTTTGTCCAAGTAATAGTAGGTTTGGGTCTACCAATAAAGGGTACTTCTACCTTCAGGTCTTCTCCAGCCTGTACACTGTAGGTATTGAACATCAGTTTGAAACTTGGCTCAATTGTCAAGTCTTTAGCTATCACAGGAATTCCAAGTGCTCTGGGATCACTTTTGCCTTTTTCATTGTAGGCAATCACATGAAATTGATATTCCTGTCCTGGACTCAAACCAGACACAACTGCACTGCATGTTTTGGTCTCACTAACAACACTCCATTTTTCAGTTCCTTTAGGCAGCATTTCAACAATGTATCCCAAAATTCGGCTGCCTCCATCATGTTCAGGTTTTTCCCATGTAAATGATGCACTTCTCTGAGTCACATCGGTGAGTGTCACTTTCCCAGGAGGCAGAGGTGGCTCTGAGGCTTTGACAGCATCTGTGGTTTCAGCTGGGACACCAATTCCAAATTCATTTTCAGCCATAACTCTGAAGTAATAAATTGCGCCTTCTGTAAGATTTTCAACTTTAAAACTCGTCTTGCCACACTTAGCACTTACATTTGCAAATGCCTTCCTGGTTGACTCACGCTTGTCTATTACATAGTTCTTTACCTTTGCACCACCATCAATAATGGGTGGTTCCCAAGATAACACAGCAGAATCCTTCTTTATATCCTTTACCACTAAGTTTTGTGGTGGTCCTGGTGTGTCCAAGACTTTTACTGTAACAAATGCAGATTTAGAACCACTGCTGTTCTCCAACTTAAGAATGTACTTTCCAGCATCATTTCTATCACAGTTGTCAATTGAAAGTTGTGTGTAGTTTATGCCTTTATCAATCTGAACTTTTTCTGTGAATTCACCTTCTTCTCGAGACCACGTGATGTCAGGTGTTGGTCGTCCCCTGAATGGTATGTGTATTCTAGCAGACCCGCCAGCTCTAACAACTATCCCTTTCCTTAGCTCTGAATCAATATCAAGTTCTGGAGCTTCAAGTTTGTCTTCTGGTTTAATAGTACCAGGGACTGATGCAGCTTCTCCTACACCAACCTTGTTGAGGGCACATACTCGTAGCTTATATTCTTGATGTTCAGTAAGCTTTTTGATTTCAAATCGAGTGGCACGTATACCTGTCTGTGGAGTGACAAGTGACCATTCATCTTCATCTGCTTTACAGATTTCTACAAGGTATCCCTGGATTTCACAACCACCATCATAAATAGGTTTACTCCAGCCAACTGTAACTGAACTTTTAGTGGTATCCACCACATGAGCATTTGTAGGTGGGCCAGGCTTGAACATGGGGTCACAAGCTTTAAAGTAAGGAGAAACTTGGCTTGGTTCACCCACTCCAGCAGCATTTTCAGCAGAAACTCTGAATTCATATTCATGATCCTCTGTTAATCCTGTAACTCTTAATCGCAAATCTGTAATTCGCCGTTTATTGCATTTTAGCCATCTGATACCCGCTCGGTCTCTCTTTTCTACAATGTAACCTATGATTTCACTACCTCCATCACTATCTGGCCTGCTCCAGCAGACAGTCATAGAATCCTTAGTAATGTTGGTAATTTCCAAAGCCTTTGGTGGTCCAGGAACCACAAATGGATTTTTCATCATTACCGGCACAGATTCCAATGGCTCACCAACCCCGTATTTGTTAACTGCCATAATACGGAAAACATATTCATTTCCTTCCAGGAGTTTTGTTACTTTCAGCATTGTAGGTAAAACCTCTGAAGCAACAACAGTCCACGCTAGGCGACTAGTTTCTCTCTTCTCTACAATGTAATGAGAAATATCACTGCCACCATCATGAAGAGGAGGAGCCCATGCCAATGAACATTTTTCAGCTGTAACTCCTGTCACTTGGACTGGGCCCTCTGGAGGTCCTGGTCTGTCCAAGACTTTAATGTTTACTGGTACTGTCTTTGTTCCTGCAACATTAGAGGCTTCTAAAATGTACTGTCCACCATCAACTCTAATAGCATCTTTTACAATTATTAATGCACTGAAATCTGTGTTCTTTATTTCACATCTAGCAGTTTCCTCAAGCTCTTTATCTCCTTTGTACCACTTAATGGTTGGTAGTGGCTTCCCGTGAACATCAGCCTCAAGTCTGAATGTTTCACCAGCATTTACAACGATTGTGTCTTTGTACTTTGGATCCATTGAAATTCGTGGAAGTTCAACTTCATCCCTTGCTGTTATTGGTCCTGTACTGTCAGAAGGTTTGCTTATTGCACCTGCAGCGTTCTTTGCAATGACTCTAAATTCGTATCTTTGGTCTTCAGTAAGTCCTGTTACAGTGAACTGAGTTTCAATGATATTTGTGAAGCTAGCTTTCATCCAGCGACCATCTGGTAAGTCACGTTTCTCTACAATATAACCAGTAATCTTACTTCCACCATCATATTCTGGTTTGGTCCACTGTAGGGTAATAGAGCTTCTTTTTATTATTATAGCTTCTGGACAACCTGGAGGATCACATGGGTCACGAGCTACGTAGCACTCAGAAACTTTACTTGTTTTGCCCACACCAACAATGTTTTCTGCAGAAACACGAAACTCATACTCAATTCCTTCTTCAAGGTTAGTTGTCTTAAAACTTGTGTCCTGAATAATCGTTTTGTTTACTTTAGCCCATAAAATGCTGTTTTTCTCCTTTCTCTCAAGATGGTAGCCTAACACTCTACTGCCACCATCATTTATTGGTTCATGCCACTGTACAACCATGGAGTCTTTTGTAATTGTTGTCACAAATGGTGTGCCAGGAGGTCCTGGTTCCTTGTAGGGGTACTGTGCTACAACTGGTGCAGATTCCAATGCAAAGCTCTGCCCGTACCTGTTCTCAGCAAATATTCTGAACTGGTATTCTGAACCAGTTTTCAATTTAGTCACCTTCAGTGTAGTTCTTGCAACAGTAGCTGAAACTGTTTCCCATATCGTGGTTGTTGTGTCCCTCTTGTGAACAACGTAGTTGGTGATTTGGCAGCCACCTGTGTATGCTGGGGGATTCCATGATAGGGTGATACTTTCTGCGCTTATTTCATCAAACTTCACAGGTCCTGCCGGAGGGTCAGGTTTGTCCAGAGTTATAATTTCAACAGAGGCGGACTTTTGCCCAACAACATTAGCCACAGTGATTTCATAAGTGCCACTGTCCTCTTTGCTAGTTTCTTTAATATTCAATATAGTGAGATCAGTCAAATCGCTAACATTGACTCTTGTCGTCTGCCTTAATGGCTGTCCATCTTTTACCCAGGTAACAGTTGGTTTAGGTCGACCTGCAATTGGTACTTCTACTTTCAGATCTTGTCCCACTTGGATACTGTAACTGTGAAAAGCAGGTCTCACATCAGGTTCAATCACCAGGTCTTTGGCAACTATTGGAACTGCAAGTGCTCTGGGATCACTCTTACCCTTTTCATTTACAGCCATTACTCTAAAAAGATATTCTTCCCCTTGAGTTAGGCTAGTAATAACTGCTTCAAGTGTTTTTACACGAGCACACTCTGACCACTTCTCACTACCCTTTGCTTGCATTTCAACAATGTATTGTAAAATTTTGCTACCACCATCATGTTCAGGTTTTGCCCAGCTTAGAGAGACGCTGTTTCTTGTGACATCATCCACTGTTATTTTCCCAGGAGGCTGCGGAACTTCAGCAACTTTAATTGGGTCGCTAGTTTCCGCAGGGAGGCCAATTCCATATTCATTCTCAGCAGAGATTCTAAAGAAGTAATAGCAGCCCTCCTGAAGTTGATCTACTTTCCATGAAGTCTTGTGGCAGTTTGTTACAACAGCTGCATATGCCTTTCTTGTTGCTTCACGCTTTTCAACGATGTAATTCTTTATTTTTGCTCCACCGTCCAAGAGAGGAGGCTCCCATGAAAGTGAAACGGAGTCTTTAGTGATCTCTCTGATTTTCAAATTAACAGGTGCACTTGGGGTATCCAGTACTCTCACACTGACAAAGGCAGACTTTGTTCCACTGCTGTTTTCCAAAGTCAGAGTATACTTTCCAGTATCAAATCTGTTAACATTGTCTAGAACAAGGGAAGTAAAACTGCTAGTGGTATCAATAATAGCTGCCTCTCTGATCTCACCATCCATTTTACCCCATTTTACTTCAGGTGTTGGACGACCTCTGATGGGAACAAACAATCTTAAGGAACCTCCTGCCCTCACATTTACAATCTTCCTTAGTTCCATGTCAAGGTCAAGGTCTGGTGCTTCCATCTTTTCTTCTACAATAACAGAACCAGGAACATCTGCATGCTCTCCAACTCCTGCTTTATTAACTGCACATATGCGGAATTTGTATTCATGTTTTTCCACTAGTTTTTCCACTTCCATGTGAGTATTCTTAATTCCAGTTGGAGGGGTACAAATTGCCCATTCACCATCACTTACATCACATTTTTCCACAATGTATCCCTGAATTTCAGAGCCACCATCGTAGATCGGTTTACCCCATGAAAGGAAAACTGATGATCTTGTAACATCCACAACTTTAGGATTGTTGGGTGGACCTGGCTTGTAAATAGGATCACACGCTTTGTAGTAAGTGGAAGGTGGGCTTGGTTCACTAAGACCAGCAGCATTTTCAGCTGAAACTCTGTATTCGTAATCATGGTTTTCTATAAGCCCTGTCACTCTGTATCTCAGTTCGCTTATCAGGCGTTTGTTACATCTTGTCCAGCGAATACCTTCCTTATCTCGTTTTTCTAGGACGTAGCCTAGAATTTCACTACCACCATCGGAGGCTGGCCTTTCCCATACAACTATCATAGAATCCTTGGTAATGGCTGTGACTTCTGGTGCCTTTGGTGGAAGCGGCACTACAAATGGGTTCTTTGCGAGTACTGGTTCCGACTCAAGAGGTTCACCAACACCATATTTATTTACTGCCATGATGCGGAAAACATATTCATTTCCTTCTAAAAGTTTTGTAACCTTGCAATTTAGGGTTTGCACATTTGAATCAACGACTGTCCACACCAAGCGACTGGTTTCCCTTTTTTCTACAACGTAGTGTGAAATATCACTACCACCATCTTGTAGTGGAGGTTTCCATGACAGCATGCATTTTTCAGCAGTAACGCCTGTAATCTCAACAGGTCCTTCTGGTGGTCCAGGTCTATCAAGAACTTTGACGTTAACAGGAACTTTCTTTTCACCTGCAACATTCCTTGCCAGTAGCACATACTGACCACTGTCAACTCTAATGGCTTCCTTCACAGTAAGGCAGGTTGCTAAATCGGTACTTTTTATTTCCATACGAGCGGTGTTTGTCAGCTCACGATCACCTTTTAGCCACTGAATGGAAGGTATTGGTTTACCATGAACGTCAGCCTCAAGCTTGAATGTCTCACCAGCATGCACTACAATAGTGTCTTTGTATTTTGGATCCATACTTATATGAGGTGGTTCTACTTCATCTCTTGCTGTAATTGCCCCTGAGCTCTCAGATGGTTCACTGAAAACACCTGCAGCATTTCGTGCTATGACACGGAACTCATACCTCTGGTTTTCAACTAGACCAGTTACTTCAAATTGGGTATCAATGACATTTGTAAAGCTTGCTTTCATCCAACGACCATCAGGTAGCTCCTTCTTTTCAACGACATAGCCTGTGATCTTACTTCCACCATCATATGCAGGTTTCTTCCACTGAAGTGTCACTGAGCTTCTTGTGACAATTATAGGTTCTGGACGACCTGGAGGGTCACATGGGTCACGTGCAGTATAGCATTCAGATGCTCTACTTGCCTTTCCAATGCCCACTATGTTTTCTGCATAAACTCTGAACTCATATTCAAGACCTTCTTCAAGGCCAGTTGTCTTAAATTTGGTATCTGGAATAGGTGTTTTATTCAGTTTAGCCCACAGAATGCTGTTTCTTTCTTTGCCCTCCAAGTGATACCCAATGATCTTGCTACCACCGTCATTGACTGGTTCATTCCATTGTACCACCATGCTGTCTTTTGAGGTATTTGTTACAAAAGGTGTTCCAGGTGGACCGGGAACTTTAAATGGGTATTGGGCTATGATTGGCTCTGAAGTGAGATAGGTACTCTTCCCATATCTGTTCTCAGCTGCAATTCTGAACTGATATTCACAGCCAGTCTTTAATCGACATGCTTTTATAGTTGTTCTCGCAACGGTAGCTGACACAATCTGCCAAGTGGTGGTGGAAGTGTCTCTTTTTTCTACAATGTAATTATTGATAGAGCTACCACCATCATACTTGGGTGGTTCCCAGGAAATGGTAATACTATCTGCTGTTACTTCATCTACTTTTACTGGTCCAGTTGGAGGTCCTGGTTTGTCAAGGACAACAATATTTAGGGTCTCAGTTGCTTCACCTGCAGAGTTTGTAAGTTTAACTAAATATGCCCCCACATCTTCTTTGCATGCTTCTTTTATTGTTAACACAGTGTTATTTTCTGAACTTTCTGCATTTACTCTTGTAGTCTGCTTCAGTGCCACATTATCTTTATGCCAAAGCACTGCTGGTTTGGGTCGACCAACAAAAGGAACATCAACCTTTAAGTCCTCTCCTGCTAGAACACTGAAAGTGGTAAACAGTAGTTTGAAAGCTGGTGGAATCACAAGATCTTTTGCAATGACTGGTATACCAAGCTGGCGGGGATCACTGATACCTTTCTCATTCTGAGCAGAAACACGGAAGGTGTATTCTTCACCTTGGATCAGTCCTGTAATAGTGGCTTCAGTAACTTTGACTGTAGCACAGGTTGACCACTTTTCACTGCCTTTGCTTTGCATTTCCACAATATAGCCCAGAATTCTGCTACCACCATCATGTTCCGGTTTTTCCCAAGATAAGGTTACACTGTTTCTTGTCACATCCAGCAAAGTTATTTTCCCTGGTGGAAGTGGTCTTTCTGATACTTTTACAGATTCTGAAGTTTCAACTGGAAGGCCTATTCCATACTCATTTTCAGCTAGGACTCTGAAGTAGTAGTTGCAACCTTCTTGCAATGAATCAACTTTCCAGCTGGTTTTGTGGCAATTGGCATTAACTGTTGAATATGCTTTTCTTGTTGATTCACGCTTTTCAACAATGTAATTGTTTATCTTAGAGCCACCATCTATGAGAGGAGGCTCCCATGTGAGTGTAACTGATGATTTTGTAACTTCTTTTACCTTCAAATCTTGAGGTGCCCCTGGGGTATCAAGAACTCTGACATTCACAAATGCTGACTTACTACCTGAGCTGTTTTCGACTGTCAGCATGTATTTGCCACTATCAAATCTGTTTACGTTTTCAACAATAAGTAGAGTATAAGAGCTTGTTGATTCAATGCTCGCTCTGTCCAAAGATTCTCCATGTTCTCTTGTCCATTTTACTTCAGGTACTGGTCTTCCTTTAATTGGAACAAAGAGCCTTAGAGTACAGCAGGCTCTAATAGTGACAACTTTACGTAGTTCTGCATCAAGTTCAATCTCTGGAGGTAGCATCCTTTCTTCAGCTTTTGGAGTCCCAGGAACAAGAGCAGGTTCTCCAAGACCCTCAGAGTTCATTGCATATATCCGTATTTTATACTCTTGATTTTCTTTCAGGTCAGTGATGGTAAAAGAAGTGGCCTTTAGACCTACTGGTGGAGTTACAATCTTCCACTCGTCTTCTTCGGGTAGTGCAATCTCAACCATGTAACCTGTGATCTCTGAACCACCATCATATATTGGTTTGTTCCATGCTATTGTAATTGAGGACTTGCTGCTATCCAAAACACGAGGATTACCTGGGGGACCAGGCTTAAATACAGTGTCACAAGCTTTATAGAATGGACTGGTTGGGCTTGGTTCACTGACTCCAGCAGCATTTTCAGCCATGACCCTGTATTCATATTCGTGGCCTTCTGTCAGTCCAGACACTTTATAACGTAAGTCGGTAACAACCCGTTTGTTACATTTCACCCACCGTAGACCAGCCCTGTCTCGACGTTCCACAATATAGTTAGTTATTGGGCTCCCACCATCAGAATCAGGATGGCCCCAACAGACAACCATAGAATCTTTTGTAATTGCTGTAACTTCAGGTGTTTTAGGTGGATCAGGTGGCACATACGGATTTACTGCAAGAACAGGCTCTGATTCCAGAGGCTCACCAACTCCATATTTGTTAACAGCCATGACACGGAACACGTACTCATTACCCTTCAACAGCTTAGTAACCTTCAGTTTAGTTAATGGAACTTCTGTGGCTACAGCTGTCCATGCCAGTCTACTGGTTTCACGTTTTTCCACCACATAATGGTCAATCTTTGCTCCTCCATCATCCAGTGGAGGTAGCCATGACAGCACACATTTTTCTGCAGTGACTTCAGACACAGCCAAAGGCCCTTCTGGGGGACCAGGTCTATCAAGAACTTTAACATTGAAGATGTGCTTGGCAAAGCCACCAGGATTTGTTGCAGTAAGTGTATAGGCACCGCCATCTCTTCTTGAAGAATCCTTATTGATAAGAACAGTAGAGAAATCTGCTATTTTTATTTCTAATTTTGCTGTGTCTTCAAGTTCTTTTTCTCCTTTTGTCCATGTCATAGTTGGTGGAGGGCGACCAGAAACATCAGCCTCAAGTCTGAAAACTTCACCTGCTTTCAGCACTAAGGTGTCTTTGTATTTAGCATCCACTCTTATCTTTGGTGCTTCAATGTCATCTCTACAAGTTATTGCATCTGATGGCTCAGAGGGCTGACTAACAGCCCCACCAGCATTCCTAGCAATCACACGGAATTCATAGGCAGCGTCTTCTGTCAAGCCACTTACAGTGAACTCAGTCTCTAGTATATTGCTGAAATTAGCCTTCAGCCAACGGCCATTAGGAAGGTCTCTTTTTTCAACGGTGTAGCCAGTTATCTTAAAGCCTCCATTATATTCTGGTTTAGTCCATTTCAGTGTAACTGCATGTCTTGTAATGTTCAGAGGTATAGGCTTGCCAGGTGGATCTATTGGGTCTAGGGCAAACACAGGCTCAGATGGCTTGCTTGGCTTACTCTTCCCAGCCAGATTTTCTGCTATAACACGGAATTCATATGCAATGCCATCGGTAAGTCCAGTCGATTTAAAAATATTGCCCGATACCAACATTTTACTTACAGTCTGCCAAAGAATGCTATTTCGTTCTTTTCTTTCAATATGATATCCCAGAATTGGGCTTCCACCATCAGTAACTGGCTCATTCCAGCTAATGGTCATGGTTTCCTTGGTGACTGCAATCACCTGAGGAGTGCCAGGAGGTCCAGGTACCTTAAATGGGTAGTTGGCAACTATAGACTCTGATGTAATGGCTGGACCAATTCCATATCTGTTTTGAGCTTTAACACGGAATTGATACTCAACTCCAGTAGTGAGACGACTGGCTTTAAATGTGGTACGTATCACTGTGGTTGCCAATTCAGTCCATGTGGTACTGTCAGTTTGACGCATTTCTACAATGTAGTTACTTATTGGTACACCACCATCATTCAAAGGAGGTTCCCATGAGAATGACAGAAAGTCAGATGAAATTTCATCAAATTTGATTGGTCCGGTAGGAGGTCCAGGTATATCATGAACATGAACTGTGATTACTTCACTAACTTCTCCAACAATATTTTTAGCTGACAGTGGGTATTGACCACTATCACTTCGTTTACATTCACTGATGGTTAGTATGGTTGCAGTTGCAGTATTTTCATAATTTACCCTTTGTGTTTGCTTAAGTATCTGGTCTTCTTTCTTCCAAGTGACAGTAGGCCTTGGACGACCAAGTACAGGGATTTCAATCTTGATATTGTCACCAGCTTTGGCAATGACTGTTTTTTGGTAGATACCACGGAGGTCAAACTCTGGTAACATCGTTTGTTCCTTGATAATAACTGGCCTGCTCTCTCTTGGGGCACTTCTTCCAGCACTGTTAACTGCCATAACCTGGAAAGTGTACTCTTCATTTTCAGTTAGATTCTTAACTACACAGTCCAGTGTTTTTACAGTGGTGATGTGTGCCCACTGGTTGGTTCCTTTTCTCTGTGCTTCAATCACATACCCAGTGATCTTGCTGCCACCATCATGTTCTGGCTTTGGCCAAGCCAGGCTAACTGAGTTGCGTGTTACATCCATAATATTAAGGCTCTCAGGTGGGGATGGTGCCTCAGAAGCTCTTACTGGTTCTGCAGTTTCAGCTGGTTCACCAATGCCATACTCATTTTCAGCCAGCACCCTGAAGTAGTATTCACACCCCTCAGCCAAATTAGGAATCCTGAAGGAACACTTCTGGCAGTTGGTTGTGACTGTTGAATATGCTTTTCGAGTCGATTCACGTTTTTCAACAATGTAGTTTGTTATACGTGAACCACCATCTATCAGAGGCATATCCCATTGGAGGGTGATGCTGTCTTTGGTTATTTCTCTAGGCTTAAGGTTTATTGGTGGACCTGGTGTATCCAAGACTTTTACATTTACAAATCCAGTCTTCTTACCAGCAGCATTTTCAAGAGTCATTACATATTTTCCTGCATCGTATCTGGTGCACTCTGTGACAATCAAGAGTGTAAAAGAGTCTGTGTTTTCAATACTGGCACGTCCTTTGAGTGAAACACCATCTTTTGACCATGTAACTTCTGGAGTTGGACGTCCTTTAATTGGCACAAAAATCCGAATAGTTAATCCAGCTCTAACAACAAGTGTTCTTCTTAGGTCAGCATCTAGTTCAAAGTCAGGAATCTCTTCCCGATCTTTGATTTCCACACTTGGAATTATTGCTGGTTCACCGACACCTGCAGCATTCATGGCAGAGATTCTGAAATTGTATTTGGCTCCTGTCTGCAGATGAGCAACAACAAACTGAGTGATTCTTAAAGCAGTCCCTGTTGTGTCTTTTACCCATTCTTCTTCTCCTTCCTTTTGATGCTCTACTATGTATCCAATGATGTCAAGACCACCATCGTAGTGAGGCTTGCTCCAAGCTAAAGATGCGCTTGTCTTTGTAGTATCAGTCACTCTTGGATTTGCAGGTGGACCTGGTGGGTCTGAAAAGTGAGGAAGAGATAAAACATTACATTACAGAGGAAGTCACTCTTACACTGTCTGAATGTGCTCCCTGCCCATCCTACCCACTCCTAAAAATGAAAGGATACTAACATGCAACATCCTTGCATAAGACTGAGTTTGAAACATCACTTGGTGGTCCAACTCCTGCTCTGTTTTCTGCACTGACACGGAATTCATATTCATTTCCTTCCAGGAGACCAGTTACTTTGCATCTAAGATCTGAAACTGGTTTCTTTGTTGCTCTGACCCATCTTAAACCTTTCTTTTCTCTTCGCTCCACATAGTAACCTGTAATTTCACTTCCACCATCATCTGTTGGCCTTTTCCAGGTAACTGTGACAGTATTTTTAGTCACATTTGTTACTTCTGGTTTTCCAGGAGGGCCTGGGGGACCTGATAAGGAACAAAAAGTATGGTTACAACAGAAATCAAGTCTTCAGAGATTAATGAAAGCATACTGGAACTTAGCTTGTCCTACGTACCAAATCTATCCACCATTTTAACTGGTTCTGATTGTACTGGTTCACCCTTGCCATACTGATTTACTGCTGAGACACGGAAAACATATTCATTTCCTTGAATGAGCTTGCTAACAACATGCCTACAGCTTTCAATATTTTCAGCAACCAATGTCCAGAGCAGTCGGCTAGTTTCCCTCTTTTCAAGAACATATGATTTGACTGGTGATCCACCATCTTCTGCAGGAGGTAACCATGTAAGGGTTGCTTTTTCTGCTGAAACATTGCTGATCTCAATGGGCCCTGGAGGTCCTGGAACATCTAAAACTTTCACATGTACACTCTCTTGCTTAGTGCCAAAAGGATTGGTTGCAGTGATCGTGTATTCTCCAGAATCTTTTCTGGATGCATATTTGACTGTTAGAGTAGAAGAAGTTGGTGTGGTCTCAATGTGCACAAGTTCTGAAGGTCTAAAATCTTTTCCAGCTTTTGACCATGCTGAAGTTGGAGGTGGTTTGCCACGGATACTAATAGCAGACACTGTAATGGTGTCTCCTGCTTTTACTGTTAAACCTTCCTTCAAAGTAGGATCGATAACAATGCTTGGTGCCTCTGTCAAAACAAACAAACAAACAACCCGTTCATTATGAAAAGAACATGTGAGCGATGGGGGGATGAAGGGGAGGTGGGGG